CAGGGCACTTGCCTGGAATGCATGAGGCTGAGTTCAAACCTCAGCACCACAAAAATAACATTACAGAACAGGAAGTCACCAATAAGCAAGCCCTCCCTGCAAATTGGCACCATGCATAGGCCACAGTGGGGACAGCCAGACACCAGCTTTTTCCCGTGAATCAGTGCCATTTGTGGACCACAGGGGAAGAGAACAAGTCACCAAGAAGCAAACCCTCCCTGCAAATGGGTCATGTGGAGAGTGAGGCAGCGCCATTCACAGACTGTGGAGGAAAGAGAACAAGAAGTCCACAAGAAGCCCCCCCGCCATGAATTGGTGCCATGCATGGGCTGCTAGGGGGAAAGCCAGATGCCACCCCTTCTGGCATGTGGGCTGAGAAACAAGAACAGCCAAACACACATCCCCCATCCCTTGCCATAAGCAACTAGCTGATCTGGAGAAATACAGGCTGCAATAATGGTTATTAATGTGGAATACAATTTAATGCTTGTAGTGTTCAGTGTTTCACTGACTTTGCAGGTCTAAAGCCGGTAGTCTGATTATCTATTCAGAAGATGGCAGTGTAGCTTCTATAGGGGATCTCCTTCTGAGGGTGATAGCCATTGTTGATTCCCTATTGTCTTGCTTTGAAGTTCTGTACCATTTTCATTGTTTTGTTCTGTTTAATTTTATTGTATTTGATGGTATGAGCAGCTATTTCAAAGATATATTATGGTAGTCATTTTAGATTTACTATTTTCTTGTTTTGAAGTCCTTTGCTGCATTCATTGTTTTGTTTTTATTAGTTCTATTCTGTTTTGTTTGATTTTTACTATGTCTAAAGGCATCTGCAGCTATTTTGAAGATAGCAGAAGGCATTATGGTAACCATTGTTGATTTCCTGTTGTTCTGAACTCCTGTATCACCTACACTGGTTTCTTTTGGTTGGCCTTGTTCTATTTTTTTTTTTTCTTAGTTTTATTCTCTTTAAAATAAAAATTTTTAAAATAACATAACAGGGCCAGGGATTTAGCTCAGCAGCATAAGCGCCTGCTTGGCAAGCACAAGATTTTAAGTTTGATCCCCAATACCAACCCCCCCCAAAAAATCATAGTACAACATAACATAAATTAATAAAATAAAATAAAATAAAATGAAGTTAAAAATAAAAATAAATTTTAAAGTAATTAAAAATTTAAAACTTTAAAAAGTTAAAAAAATTTAAGTAAAAATTTTTGAACAGACATCTTACTACAGAGTATATGCAGATCCATATAAACATGTAAAAGATATTCAACAGCTCAAACTATATGGTGAATACTTAAATTTTAAAAATTAGTGACACATTGTTAATACCCCCCCCATTAAACACTCCCCCCACCCTTGCTTCAAACATACTTATCCCATCATTCTTGCCACTCTCTGAAGCAGTTCTGAAGTCCTCTAGCTTGTCTTAGAGATGTAACAAAAGATACAGTGAATTCTGTTTTTGATCTAACAAAAAGGCAGGATTGTAAAAACATTACGGTACACCCTCATCCACCTCACTTACCACCTCATTCACAGTAGAATGCCTGGCTCTTCTCCAAAGTTAAAATGACCATGAAAGAGAAATGCTTTGAACAAACTCAGGACATTAAGGCAGCTATAACAGCACAATTAAAATCACTCACTAAAGGGAATTTAAAGTCACTTCATTAAGTGGCAAAAATAATGGGATAAGGTGTTCAAAGTGAGGCTGAACAATAAATGAGTGTGATTAAAGGCAATGTATCTTTACAGTAATAAATTTAGAAAATTTAAACATCCACCATATCTTTCAAACATATTATATATGTCATCAGGAAACTGAAAACTCAACAAGACACACAGACTATATAGCTAAAGATTTGTTAAATCCATAACCCAGTAGTGCCAAATACTGGCAAGAAAGTAGAGTGAAAATAACTCTCATTCATTGTTGGTAGGAATGCAAAGGTGCAGCCACCTTGGAAGACAACCTAGCAGTTTGTCACAAAACTAAATATATATTTAGCATTTGATCCAACAATCGCAGTCCTACGTATTTACCCAGAGGAGTTAAGGATTTACGTTCACACAAAAATCTGCACATGAATGTTCACAGAAGCTTTACCATAACTATCAAAATGGGCCAACCACAAAGTCCTTCAAAATGAATGGATAAACTACTCATCTTGACAATGGGCTATATTATGTGCATATCAAGCCATGAAAAGACTTGGAAAACTTAAATGCATATTACTAAAGGAAAGAAACAATCTGAAAAGGATGCATTCTGTATAGCTCCAATTGTATATCCTGAAAAACAGAAAACAGTACAGGGTTCCAGGAGTCTGTTGGAAGGGAGAGGGATGAAAAGAGGTAGTACAGAGGATGATGAAAGCAATGGAACTACTCTGAATGACAATGTATTGGTAGATACAAATGCTACACGTTTATCAAAAGCCACCTGACTGTACAATTACAAGAGCAAAACTTAAACTAAGGAATCTGGTTAATAATGTATCAATAATGGTTCTTCAACTGTCATAAATATATCACACTAAGGTAAGATGTCAACAATAGGAAAGGGGCAGTGAGGTGATTTATGGGAACTGTCCATACTTTCTATTAATTTAGTGCTCTAAAAATCTATTAATTTTTTTAAAAAAAGCAGAGGAGCAAACCCCATACCATGAGGGCAAGAGCTACACGGTGCTGCCTCAGGCCTCAATCCGGGGCAGAAAAGGAAAGGAGTGGAGCAGCCCTGGGCCCAGAACAGAGCCTGCAAGTGGTCGTTAAAACACACAGGTCTGCAAGACAAGGCAGCCCCACTACCAAGGCTCTTGTACCTCAGTCTTCCATCCAAAAGCAAGAGCAGTGAAGGAAGGAAAGGCCTGGATAGGAGAAGGAAAGGGAGCCAGAAAATCTCAAATGCTCTGTCACATTCTTTTTTTTGTTTTGTTTTGTTTTTTCATACAACATATAAACAACAGAAACGAGAAAAGTTACCCTGCTGCATGGGTTCTCGAGTAAATTTTATTTAGGAAAATAAATTTTATCTAAAAGAGAGCAATAATAAAGTATAAAGGTCAAATCCCATATAAATTAATAATAATAAAAAATATATATATAAATAAAATAATCAATAAAAACAGTCCCTAAAGATACTGTATCTACGACCAGGTATGGTGGCACACACCTGTAATCCCAGCTAGTTGGGAGGCTAAAGGCAGGAGGTTCACAAGTTTGAAGCTAACCTAAGCAACTAGCTGAGATTCTGTGTCAAGATTTAAATAAATAAGCATATAAACAAACAAATAAATGGCCAGAAATGTAGCTAAGTAGTAAAGCACCCCTGGCTCCAAACTCCACTACTGCCAAAATAAAAACAAAAGATGTATCACAAAACAGATCAAAATTGGGCTGGGGACATAGCTCAGTGGCAAGCGCAAGGTCATGAATTCAATTCCTGGTATCAAAAAATAAATAAATAATAAATAATTTACCCTTTAAAAACACAGTGCCTCTTGGCTTTTTAAATGATAGGTGGCATTTAAAAATAACACAAATTGGGGTTTGGCGTATAAGGCCCTGAGGTCAATCCCTACACCTCCATTTCCCCAGAAAAGAAAAATTTAAATAAGAAACAGAAAAACTTAGAAATGAGGTAACAAAACTCAGAAAAAAAATTAGAAACTAAAGAAAAAGTATTTCAGTAAAAACTTGTGGATTAGCCGGGTGTGGTGGCTCATGCCTGTAATCCCAGCACTCGGGAGGCTGAGGCAGGAGGATTGTTGGGAGTTCGAGACCAGCCTGGGCTACAAAGTGAGCTCAAGGACAGCCTGAACTGTGTAGCAAGACCCTGTCTCAAAAAAGACAAAACAAAAAACAAAAAAACTTGTGGACTGAAATGGTGCCCTCTCCACAAAATGCATATGCACATCCTAATTTCTAAAGTCACTGCGACCTTATTTTAAAAAGGGTCTTTGCAGATATAATTAATGAACTCTAGAGGAAAAGACTGTTCTTGATTCAGACAGCTTTCCCTCCAGAAAGGAGTATCTTCACAAGGGACTGGAGAGAAGAGGAAAAGGTGATGTGACAAAGACAAAGGCTAGAGAGATATATAGCCATATCCATATGCTGAGACCTATCAAGCCACACCTGGAGCCAACAGAGACCAGAAGAGGAAAGGACTGGGTTGTTTCCTGGAGGCTCCAGCATAGCCCTGGCAATGCCTCTGGAATTAGGAGAAAAGAAATCTCTATCATTTTAAGTCACCAGTGGAGGTGATTTGTTACAGCATGTTATAGCAGCCAGAAGGAGACAATGCATTAAAGAGAAAAGGGAAAAAATTTAAATTAGGAAACACAGAAATAAAATATTTGAAAGAAAATTACTTTTAATTCAGCAATTCTGATTCTCAAAATTTTCTGCACAAGAGAAATTAGGAATTTTTGGAAAAGATTAAGCTAGTCATTGCATTATTTTTAATAAGAGTTAATTTTCTTTGTTTTCATTTTTTTGCAAGAGGGTCTCACTATGTATTCCAGGCTAGCCTCAGATCTGTAGTGGTCCTACTGCCTCAGCCTTACCAGTGCTGGAATTAGAGGCATGCAATTTTTTTTTTCTGAAAATACAACTGAAAAAAATCCTATCAATTTACCTGACTTGATTTTGCTATTACATAAACTGAAGCTCTGAAGAAAAGGCACTTAATAAAGACCCACTCCTATTACCAGATTAATAGCATACTGACTACTGAAAATTGTACCAAAATTCTTCTCCTTAAAAACTTTATTTATGCCGGGCGTGGTGGCTCATGCCTATAATCCCAGCACTCGGGAGGCTGAAGTGGGAGGATCGTTGTGAGTTCAAGACCAGCCTGGGCTACAAAGTGAGCTCAAGGCCAGCCTGAACTGCATAGTGGGACCCGTCTCAAAACAGACAAAAAAAAAAAAAAAACTTTATTAAAATGACCATTAAACACTGGACAAAAGCATCTGAACAGAACTTACTTTAATATATCCAAACACTGGTAGAGCTTGGTTGGATAATTTTCTTGGCATATCCATTTCTGGATTAATCTGGTGTCGATCAGGACAGATTCTTTTGTCTCTGAAAAAGAAAAACTGTATTTGTTGTGCTGGTGGTGGTTGTGTGCAGCCTCAAACATGCTACACAAGGTCTCTACCATACAGTGACATTCCTAGCCCCTTAGATTTCAAAGCCAAGAAAAATAGTAATAGTTTATGTGAATTCTGAAACATTCTTCAAAACTTAATCTGCAACTGAAATTAAAGAACGTTTATTCCAAACATCTTGAGCAACCACATTAAATACTTCAGGTGACACTAATAATATGTAAATACACAAATAAGTGGAAAAGGGTTATATGAACTAACAAACTTCAAAAGACTCAGCAACATATTATCATAATCCAGAATACAGGCTAATTAGCCTCTGAACATATCTTAGCCAGTCTTTAAACAGTTACCTCCAAACTGTGCAATTTGGAGTAGCAGTTAAAAGTTCCTGCTTTAAAATTAATATTCAAATTCAAATTTTAAAAATATTCAAAAATTTTAATTTGACATATATACAGTGATACCTCAGTTTATGAACTCAATTCTCTCCACAATGCTGGCTGCAAACTGAACTGGACAAGAACCAAATCAAATTTCCCCATAAGGACAACACTGAACCTAACCATTCAATTTGATTCAGTTCTCTTCCAATTTGATTTGTGATCAGAATTGTGAAATAACCCAGTTCGCGAATGAAGTACTTCTTTTCTTTCTTCTTCTTTTTCTCTTTCTTTTTCTTTTTCTTTTTTTCTTTCTTTCTTTCTTTCTTTCTTTCTTTCTTTCTACTTACCTACCTACCTACCTATCTAGACAGGGCCTTGCTATAGAGTACAGGCTGACCTTGAACTTGATATGCAGTCTAAGTCTGCTTTGAACTCACAATCTTCCTGCTTCAGCCAGCCAGATGGTAGGGTTACAGGCATGTGCCACCATGTCTGGCTACAATATTCTATTTAAAATAATAAATAAAATTGCCTTTAATAGGCTGTTTAATGCATCATGAAAAATAATTAACATCAATAGCTATCTTAATAGCTATCTTAAATTCAATCCAGTAGGTGTTATCAGACACTTTCACACCACCTGTATATTTACTAAGTAGTGGCATCTTGTCTAGAGGGCCCCCATGACTGTTCAGATATCCAGGCCCTCCCAACTGATCTATAGCATCAATGCAGTCTCTCTTATCGAAATGCCAGTAGGATCTTTGGAAAAATTAACAGATTTATTCTATGATAAAAGATTTTAGATAACCAAAGCAACCTCGCACAAAGGCAAAGTTAGCTTAATATGCCAGGTCCCAAGACTCATTATAAAGCTACAATGCTTAAAGCATAGTGCTAGTATAAGAGACAAATGGAACAATGCAGCAAAACAAACTCTTACAACAGACCACATATCTGACCATCAGGTTAATGGAACAAATGATGATTTCCATGCTAAATGGCAAACCTTACCCCATACCTCAAACTACATATGTATGAGAGCACTCAACCAGTTTCAGATGTCAAAACATTTCACATTTTACAATTACAGATATCAACAGGAGAGTATATACCTACACTGTAGTATACCCGTGCAATGAGTTATATCCACAAAATAAATGAAAGATACAACATAGATAAATTTCACAGGTATTAGGCTAAAAGACAGAAACATGAGATATATTGTAATTTAACTATATGTTTAAAAAAATGAGCTAAAGTGTAAAATATGGCATCAGCCTACCCATCAACAAATAAATGGATAAAGAAAATGTGGCCTACAAATACAATTGAGTACAATTCAGCCACACACAAAAATGAAATATCTCCATCAAAATGGATGGATCTGGAAGACATTATGTTGAGTGTAATAATCTAGAAAGACCAGTACTTAATGTTCTCTTTCCTATGCAGACACTGGAAAAAGTGAACTTAAAAGTAGATTAGTGATTCAGGAGGCAGGTGTAGAAGTGGGGTAGGAAAAAAGGAGAGCTGAATATAAGTATATTCCATATACAGGTAGGTAAACAGCATGCCAAACCCTATTAATGTATACAATTAAGATGCATTAATAAAAATGGGGGGTGAAACAAAACATCAATATTGACAGCGACAGAGGTTAGTTACTTCTGGATAGGGCACATCAGGAAGAATGCAGGAATCTCTGGTGTGCTCCCAGAGAGCTAGTTGGTAGTTTACAATGATGCACAGATATGATGCTTCATCAAGCTGTAAAATTATGAGTCCTTTACTGCATGTACTATCTCAATTTAAAAAGAATATGGGCTCACTTGCAAAATCCAAAAGCTTTAAGATATGGACACAGAGGTCGTCTGGCCTTCTTATCTTCTTTGGCTTCCAGAACTCCTGCAGTAAACTCAAATAGTTCCAATGGGATTTTGGCATCTGCTCGCTCCAAGTAGCGCAGGACACCAACTGCCTGGCTTGCATTTTTCTCCGTCAGCAACAAGACAGACTTGGGTTTTTTATCTCCCTGCTCTGCAGAACCCTTAAATCAAGGTGAACAAAGGAAGTGATCATTTATACCAGTCTCAATGTACCTTTATGGTGTCTGAATTTGTTATTGCACAGAAAATAACAGTGAAACACTGAAGGTAATAAAAATTGATCAAACCTGTTCAGTTAAATTCCCAAAGTGATCAGACATACAATACAGGCGTCCACCAAAATATTTTGGTGAAGAAGGGAAGCTGAAGTGAATCACACATGTGGCATCAGTGATGGCCAGGAGTGGTATGCAGTCATCAGTTAAGGCTGGAGGAAATGATTCCAACATGTTCCCATGAGTGGGAGCTTTTGGCACTCACTTTAATGATCAGTCCCAATAACTGTTAGGGAAGTGCTGTATGCCCCTAACCCCACATTTTAGTGTTTAGATGCAAAGAAACTCTCCCCACCCCACCAAAATGTCACAGCCTCATGCTTAAATTACATAGAAAAGTGGCTTCCCTTTCAGGATGAAAAATGCTTTTCTATGACAAATCCAGGGCACCTATATATTTTTAACTTATTTTCTACATTTTGGCTTTATATTTCTAATATTATGACCATGATTCATTGGAGGCAATGGTGCATAGATATAGACTCTGTGGGCTATGTACATACAGACTTAGATATACCACAGTGATGCTCCAGCTAGGACCCCAGGGAAAACAGGTAGACTACCAGTTACTGCCTATGGCTTCCTGAGAGCCCTGAAGGCATCTAGAGTGACTTTAACTGGAAATTAATTTCATTATGAAATTAATATCACTAACAAATTGAGAAATAATGAGAAATCTGGAAATATATAAATGAAGATATGGTTCCTATTAGCTTAGCCTTGTCTAAACATAAGTAGAAATTGAAACACTTACCTAGTACAATGTGAGAGCCAGAATTTAACTTCTTCCACTGTTCTAAAACATTATTTAAGTCAGAAGTCATTTCTTTATGCATTTTCAAACAAAATATTGAATTGCTTTCTATTACCTGAAGATAAAACAAAAAAAATTTCACAGTAGGAAACACAAACTTGAAGCCAACTAAATCATGAATAATTATTAATGTAAATGACTTTATGTTTTGTTTTGAGACAGGGTTTCATTATATACCCCAGGCAGCCCTTGAACTCAGTGATCCTCCTGGCTCAGCCTTCCCCAAGCCTTGGGATTACAGGTATGCACCACCACACTCAGTGAATGACTCTGAATTATCTAGGAGGTCATTGCCTCATGGACCCAGTAATTCTTGAGAATGAAATGACTATAAATTTAAATATATTTCCAAAGTTCTGTAAGTTTTATCTAGCAACTTGCTTAATGAGAATTTTGCTAAAACTGTTTTCCTACCTTTTAAAATAAGTTGAAAAATAAAATACATATGTATGTGTACATATATGCATATATATGCATATATGTGTAGTGTATATAAGTAGGTATTTATCAAATATATGGTACTACTGTTAACAAGGGCATTCTATTTGTATTTTCTTTCCAGGTCATTCTTGAAAAAAAAAAGATGCATTACTGATTTTTTTTTATTTTGTATTTGGCTTTGACTCTACAATTTAGCATTATGAATGCAAAATCACAGTAAAATGTGGTAAGTTTTTAACTTATTTCTTTTGCTATTCTGACTCAGGACAGTATCTTATTGTTATCTTCTTAATCTTCTTAGCTAGAGTAAAGAAGATGTGCACGATTCTACATTTCAGTCCTCTCATGCTCCACAATGACAAGTACTATTTCTTGGGAACCTGCCTCTTGGGAAAAGCTGGGCCCCTATCTGATCCCACCCCCAGAGTCAGACCTCCTGCTCTCAGCATTTCTGGCACAGCCTGCTTCCTCTTTGGACCAGTGTGAAACTTGGGAGATTTGTATCTCTTTGCCACATATTCAATCACTCTAGTAATTTTCTGATCACTGAAGAATCAGTCACAATTTAAACTAACCATTTAAACTCTTCACGGGTAGGTAGGCTCACCTTAGACACTACTTCTGTTTCAGCTACAGAGCAAGTAAAAATCAAGGTCTTCTGTGCCCGACTGGGAATGAAATCAAGAACTTGGAGTAAAGTAGAGGTTTTTTCACATTCTAGGCAGAGATGCACCACCTGGTAATGAAATATAGACACAAGGCGAGATATATTCAGAGTGCTGCAGTTTTACTTTCCATAGCAAAGTTACACACATAAAGATAACTTGCTTGTACTCATCAGCTGCCCTCCACTCATCACCTGCTGGACATTCCCATACAGAGCAGCCTCCTCCGGGGCTGTGATCACAACATAGGGATCATTCATGAACTCTCTCATCAGGTGTTCTATGTGTTTGTTCCAGTGAACTCCAACTGCAATGATCTGACGTGGTGCACACTCCCTTTCTTCCATTTTAACATTTTTCTTAAAGTTATCTAATATAGCAAACATCTAAAAAATAAGCATAAATTTTATATTTTAAAAGAGTGTAAGAATTGGTTTGACAGTATAAAATGCAAAAAAATTATATTTTCTGTTTTCAGAGTGGGGAAAACCTTTCTGAAAATATAAGGGAACAACTAAAAGTAAATACTTAGAAGTCAATAAACAACATAAAATTCCACTATAAAAAAGATTAAAGCATTAAAGTATCCTGGTAAATACATATAACACATGTAACAAGGGATTAAAGTACATTTAAAACTTCAAAAATCGATTAGGAAAAAGTTCTACCAATCAAAAGGAAATAAACAAATCATAGGGAAACAGACAGGGTGGTCAATATGAATTAATGCTGAACTTAAGTAATCAAAGAAACACAAACTACTCTAATGAGATCTCACTTGATTAACCAGCAGCCTGGCAAAGAAAGCTGAGCCAGAGACTCCTGCTGGAGTTGCCATACCAACACACACAGGAATTTTTTTAAAATATGAAAATACTCCAAAAGAATGATTACCTCTTAGTGTAACATTAGAGGTACTGGATTTTTTCTCAAGTGTTTTTTTCTATTTCTTAAATTCTTAAAAATGTTTCTGTAATCAGAAAAGAATGAAATATTTCTGCTAACCTTATTGGGAAAGAATTTTTGCTCTTCAAAGAGAATGTGAACATTGAGAAGGTAATTTCAGATAAACATTCTCTCTCCTAAATCAAAAGAAATTAAAAGAAAAAAAATTTTGGAGATCAACTCTAGAGACATTCTTGATTTCTAAAAGCAGTTAACATATATTTCAGAAATATATATTCTGAACAGTAGTGAATTCAAATGGATGTTGGGCTTACTTGTTCATTAGCTTCGGAAAATAATATTTCCACCTCATCCAAAACCAGGTGACAGACTCTAAGAAATAACAAGCTTTGGTATGCAAGAAGTCTCAGGAGGCTATGTGGTGTTGTGACTATTACATCACCTGTATTTTAAAATGAAAAGCAATGAACAGTTCATATTTTCCAAAGGATTTTCAACATTCCTTTGCTAAGATATCATATACTTTTTAGAAGCTGTTTCTCTATTCTGGTAGGCAAGGAAACCCCCAACCCTCCACCTCCACAACCAAGCATCCGACCCAATCCCTGGACCCTTGCCAGGTTTGGTACTCCTTGAAAGCAGGAGGGTTTTAGTTAACACTGCATGCCCAGCATCTAACAAACAGCGAGTGGTCAGTGGATAACTGACAAATGAACCAAATCACATAGTTTTATAGCTGAAATGGATTCAGGTCCAGACTGAATTTTCATCTCTGATACTCATCAGTAACTGACAAGGAAGGTCTGGACCAGTGACTACCAGCCACAGCATCATACAAGCTGCATCATCTGTGATCTCCCAGGGTTCTGCTGCCTTCTATAGGGAAACCAAACAGCTAGGAAAGGATGCTTACACCCCCTTGGAAGCTTCATGTTTTTGGCTTCATCTTTGTGAAGTCCAATTGTTAAGAACATAGGATGAAGAGGCCTGGAGGACATGCTGTAGTCTCCCAATAATTCAAAAGTTAATTGGGCCTTTTTCCACCCTGGGCACACGATTATTACAAGAGGCTGCAAAGACAAATTCAAATAATTTTGGACAGTAGTTAGGAATAAAACAGTATATGAGGTGTGATTGAAAACTACAGTGAATGTTTGAATCTTAAAAACTTATTATAAAGACACATTGCCATCAGCTCCCCTTACAATACTCTCCCCTTATTTCAAACATACTTTCCCATCATCCCAGCCACTTTCTGAAGCAGTTTTGGAAGTCCTTTTTCATGTCTTTATGAGCTATGATAAAAATATGGTGAATGTCACTGTCAAGTGCCATCTGACAAAGAGACAGCCTTGTAGGAATGTTATGGTGTGTCCTTATCCACCAGATCTGGCATCATGCAACCTCTGGATCTTCCCCAAATTCAAAATGGCCATAAAAAGTAAATGTTTTGAATCAATTCAGGATATTAAGGCAGTCAAGACAATGCAATTCAAGATACAAAAGTGGATTTTCAGAACTGCTTCAGAAAGTGGCAAGAACAGTAGGGTGAATGTGTTCAAAGAAAGGAGTATTTTGAGGGGAATTAATGGCAATGTGCCTTTTACTGTAATACATTTTTTTAATTTAAAAACACACCTTATTTTTTAATCTACCTCACATGTTAAACTTCTAGGATAGCTCCTTGTATGGGAAAAGCACTATGTTAAATTTTTCTTACTATTATGTAAGTGGAAAAGTTGATTTAGACACATAGCTAGGTTTTTCTAGGACTTAAACTAAGTTCCTTACAAATATTAAGTCGTTTAATTTATAAAATACTCTTTACAGGGTAAGGCCCATTTCATAAATTAGGAGTCTGAAGCACAGAGAGGTGAAATCAGTTGCCCAGGGCTACACAGCTAACACAAGGTAACGACAGGATTTGAACCTGAGTCTAGATATCCCATTCCTAGGCATGACAATCAACTCACTGTCTCCCAAAAGGGGCCCTAAAAGGCTAACGCCTCTCTACTTTAGGAAATTACCTTCTTAACTCTGCCTTCTACTAGCTTATTGATTCTGCTGAAGGAGCACTGCATGCCAGATACCCTCAAGAACACATGCTTTCTATTAACTGAACATAAGCCTAATCTCTTCTTTCCTTCAGGCAGTTCCAGTGAGTGCCAGCTGCCGGGCACAGGTCTGAACGCAGGCTGCCCATGGAGTAACGGAGTCGGTCAGGGAGACATGAGGGGCAAAGCCTGGCATTCTTCCCTCAGCTCACCCAGGATTCTACCTTCACGCAACTTGCATCTCATTAGCACCTGCTAATTTGGTCACCTGCAAATTTGAGGAATATAGATGCATTCATTTAGTTTTATTAAACCAATACATAGCAACTAGAGAAAATTCCAAAAGGAAACATCAATGATGCAGCATAATGAGAAAAACGTTTTCTAACTACAACTCTAGGCATGTTTTCCTATTGCTGTTTCTTCTTTTGATGTGATGCATGAATGAACCATCTGTAGTACATCTTTTGTGCCAGGACCTGGGGTGAAGGTTTTATATCTTATCAGTTCTCCTGAGAGCCAAAGCAGATGTCACTACCCACTACCCTACCATCTGGTCCTCATTCTCCATAGCTCCTTTCCATTATCTTCTCAGATATTTTTAGATTTCTTACAAATGAAGAAAGTAGAATTATGAAACATTGTGGGGTACTATAAAGTAGTTTAAAGAATATTCAACAAAGACAACCAAAACTGAACTTTTAATCCTACTTCAACCTCTTGTCAAGAATTAAACTGTCATATCATGGTACCTGCAAGCAGCTTGGGAAGAAGCCAGAACTCAGTAACCAGCTCTTTTCTCTCAATTTTTTTCTCTCTTCTTTGTCCTTTCTTATTCTATTTTTGTTCCCCTTTCTCTTCCCTTCCTTCTTCCACCCCTCTCTAAATGTCTACAGAGAATTCCAGCCACGGAAAACTAATTCCATCCCCCAGAGACCAACTTCAGATAATCTCTGGAACATTCTTCATTCTTTTCTACCCTCTTCTAGTTTCCCAAACCTTGCATGACCTCCCTTTGCCCTCCAGCCTTGCTTCTACATACTTCCCAGTTATCTTTGTTTTATACACTATCTTCCCTAAATTTCCCCACACAGGGTAAAACCACTCTGTCAAGGAGAAATATTTTGCATACAAACTCCAAATATACAATCGATTGTTTTATAGTTCCAGAGTTTGTTCCTATGGTCTAAATTATGAAATTAATAAACTGTATTTGATGTTATTGTTATTACTACTTTAAAGGAAGTCATATCTGTTATCATCAGTTGTTCTCCCGTCTGTAACAATACTGGGAAGCTCTAGGGTAACAATCCCACCACAGCCCTATACCAAAGAACCAGGGATGAAGCCAAACAGATAGCAACATCCCACTCTTGATTAACTGGGAAGTTGGGATCTTGGGACAGGCACAAGCCAAGAATTTCTTACATACAGAAGAAATCCCTGAATAACAGACTTTTCCTAGAAAGGTCCTGATACTAGTAATATAGCTACCTATTACAAAAATTCATAAGGATCATTGCATAAAACAAAATAAAAAATTTTTTGCAATAGAAAATGATAAGACTAAAGTAAAATGCAATTGCGGACCTCCAGCCCACCCATAACAAGTCCAGGATACATAGAAACTATTGGAAGACAAATACCTGAAGTTTTTGAAATGATAGCAACCTAAGAAACAAATCCATGCAGCTATAGAGGAAATCAGATCAGAAATAAACTCTCAGGTAAAAAAAGAAATGTCAACATTTACAAAGGAATTGTTTAGCAAATCTAGAGCAGAGATAGATAAAAAAAATAGATGATGATGGAAAGAGGATGGAAACTGAATGATCAATATAGGAAAGAAATAGGATGCGTGAAGCAGATTCAAACAGTCATCCAGGAAGTTAAGAATTCCACTGAAAGCTGGCAAAACCACTGGAACGAAACTGAAGACAGACTTTCAGACTTTGAAGATATAATTGTGGCTAGCAATCTGAAAGGAAAGATCTCTTGAAAATAACAAAAGATCAGGAAACAACAATTCAAAAATAATATAAGAATAATTGGTGTCAATGAAAAAGCAGCAGTCAACACAAATGACTATCTGCACAAGTAATAGAAGAAAATAATAGCAACCTAAGTAAAGAAACAAATTGATGAGGCTATAGAGGAAATCAGATCAGAAACAATCCTAGGTTAAAAAAAAAGAAATATCAACATTTTTAAAGGAATTGCTCAGCGAATCTAGAGCAGAGATAGATTTTAAAAAATAGCTGATAGGAAGAGGATAGAAACTGTGAATGGTTAATATAGGAAAGAAATAGAATGCATGAAATTTTCCAAGCATGGGAAAAGAATCTGACATATAAGTAAGTGAGCCATATAGAACTCCAATTAGCCTTAACCAAAATAAATCTATACCCAGACATACAATAATCAATAGCCCAGAAATTCAGCACAAGATCAAAATATTAAAAGCTGTTAAGCCAAACACGGTGGCACATGCCTATAATCCCAGCACTTGAGAGGCTGGAGGATCACTGCAAGTTTGAGATGAGCTAGGGCTACAAAGTGAGGTTAAAGGCAGCCTGAAAAAAATGCTGCTGGAATAAGAAACAAATCACCTATAAAGGTAAGTCCCACAGACTTCTCAACACAAACGCTCAAGTCAAGAAGAGTTTGGAGTGAAGTATTTCAAATCCTCAAAGAAAACAATTTTCAACCCAGATTGATATACCCTGCAAAAAACTATCTTTCAAAATTAATGGAGAAATAAGATACTTCTGTGACAAAGAAAACTGAAGAAATCCATGACCTAGAATAGCAAAAGCAATCCTGGGCAGCAAAGACAAGGCAAGAGGCATCACAATCTCTGACTTGGAATTATACTACAGAACTATTATGATAAAATCAGCATGGTACTGGCAAAAAACAGACCTGATGATCAGTGGAACAGATTAAAAGATACGGACATGACTACAAACAAACTCAGCCATCTTTTCTTTTGTTTTTAGCCACATTATCTTTGACAATGCAGCCAATATGTTCACTGAAAGAAAACCTCTTTAATAAATGGTGCTGCAAAACTGACTTTCCACATGCCAAAGACTAAAACTAGATCCATGTCTATCAACATGCACTCAAATCAAAATGGATCAAAGATATAAACATTAAAAAAGAAACACTAAACCTACTGGACAAAAGTAGATGGAAATCTTAAAGACATATGGGCAGGCAGAGAGTTCATGAACAAAAACCAAACTGCACATGAAGTACTTTCAAAGAATCAATAACTGAGATCTCATCTTAATAAAAAGGTTTTGAACATCAAGAAAAATCACCAACAAAGTGAAAAGAAATACCACAGGTTGGGAAAAAATTTCAGCCAACTGTCCTCCAGACAAATGACTTCTATCAAGAACATATAACGAATTGAAAACAATCAGGTCCCTCAATTCAAAGATCCAATCCAGAAATGGACATGTCAGACAAATACGTACTTTTCAAATGGAGAAATGTAAATGGCAAATAAATACAAGAAAAAAATGTTCAACATCATTGGTCATTTGAGAAATACAAATTAAAACATTGAGATTCCATTTCCAGAAAGAATGGCTATCATCAAGAAATCAACCAACAACAAATGCTGAAAAGGCTGTGGGGAAAAAGGAATCCCTTTCCATTGTTGGTGGGAATATGGACTGGTGCAACCACTGTGAAAATCACTGTGAAGATTCCTCAAAAAACTAGGATCAGAGGTCCCATTCTAACCAAGTATTTTCCTTCGAGTATCTTCCCAGAAGAATTAAAAACATCATACTACAGTGATATATGCACACCCATGTTTATAGCAGCACAATTTGTAAAAATTAAATCTCGGAAACAACCCAGATGTTCATCAACCGAGAAATAGATAAAAAAGATGCAGTATTTTTATATAATGGAATACTACTCAGTTATAAACAGGTATAAACTTGAGGCTTTTTTTAGGTAAGTAGATGCAACTAGAGACTATACTAATAAGTGAAACAAATCAGACTCACATGTATAAACATTGTATTGTCTTACTAGTGCAAGAAATTGAAAGAGTAAATAAGATCCAAAATCTACAAAAGATATCATAAGAGGGAAAGAAACTGTTCAAAAGGAAAGAACTACTGGAATGTGGGAAAGGAGAAAAGGGAAAAGAAAAAAAAATATATATATATACACAAGATAGCTAAGATAATTATACTAATTTTTTAGTTCATTGAAAAGAATGCTTTGTTTACATTGCTTGATCAATTTTGCATGCTTATATCTTGTAATCTGAGCAACTACTTTGAAAATAACAATACTCAATATATTAACCGTTGTTAATTTCCTATTACCTTACTATGAAAAGTCTCTGTCAGTTATTGCTTTTTCCCTTTAAAATAAAAAATAAGTTGTCAAACTGTTAAAAATTTATCCCAATAGATTTTTATGAACTGAATTTTCCCATGTTTCAAATGGGGAGAAGGGAATGGGGATATGGCTCAGCACCACAGTGCCTGCCTGTCAAGCACAAGATCGTGAGTTCAATTCCCACTACAAAAAAATAAAATGAAAAGAACCATACATGCCTATTTTACATGGTTATCATGACAGTTACAGGAATTAAGGTCAGTGAGATCACTTTATAAACTCTATGTTCATTTTTAAACACCAGAACTCTTCTACCCAGTCAATGGCCTACAACTGAGACTCAGGGTAAAACTAGTGACCAGAAGAGAAAGGCTAACACTATCATAGGACAGTTTTTGTCTGGCAGTCTGGAAAGCAAATTGAGTCATATAACCTGAATTTATCAACATATAGGTATACAATTTTGAAATAAATAATCCATCTTGTTGAGACATAAAACTGTCAACTTACTCCATTTCTACTTGGTAATGACTTATAGCAGCCCCCCATTTGTAACATGGTAAGCAATGGTGGGAGGTACAACAAAGGGTCATTTCCACAGTGAGAAATGATAACCACATCACAGCCACGTGCTATGGGAGGCCAAGAGTAAGATTCAGTGTAGCTGGGTCCTGGGTACTTCTTTCTCTGAAGAGCCTACAAAAAAATAAATCAACAAACAAAAATTATAAAGTAGACAAGACAAAAACTCCACTCAATTCTCCCTTTACTCCAACTACAAGCAAAGAGGTTTCAGGACAGAATCTGTTAAGTCCCAGGAAACTATTCTCCACACCATCTCCTATTTTATGACTCCGTTTTTATGGGGCCCAAAATAAAAGGGTCCAATACGTAATCCATTAATGAGATGACTAAAGCTATGACTATTCTACTATTCTGCCAATTCAACAGCCTCACTTGTAAAGCTTTGTTAAAAACATGCTTCTACTTGCCTATCTTTCTGATACTATCACTAAAACCCAATGTTCCAACAGAGTTCTCCAACCACCACTATCTCTATACATCCTTCTCCACAGAGTGGAACGGGATGGCTTTTTCTCCACTGTTGACCCAGGAGTTTACTCTGTCTGCAATTTCTGTAGTCTTCTTTCTTAGTACACTCTGTTTAGTGGGGAAGATACTTCTGTAGCTTCTTCACAAAGGGGATAAGAGAGGTCTTTTGAGACCCTGCTTATGTAAAAATATCATTCTCACACCTCACTGTTCTGTGTCAACCTGAAAGCTAAAATAGCCCCTCATCAGAGTGCTAAAGTCCACACTGCTCAGATGTTGCTGAAAAGAAGTCTGACAGCAACATGTTGGCTTCCAGACTCATGTATGAGATTGTCTCTTCCTCCAGAAGCTTCCATGGTCTCCACAGTTCTGAGATTAGATGCCTCACAGCCACGCATATAATATCTGTACATCAGTTATGTGACTACAGGTGTAGATTCTGATGTGTCCATTAGGTCCAGAAAATACATTCGCTAGAGAATCATCTATCATTTCCCTTAAGTCTTTCTACATATTCCTTCTTCAGATATTGAATCTCAAATGGAGCATCAAATTCATTTTTCCCCATCTCTCTGCTTTTATTGTTTTCTATTTTATATCTCAAATCTGCCATTTATTGTTTAAAATTTCTATAAATATTTTTAATTTCTTTTGTTTCTTTTCTTTATAGTAGTACTTTGTAATTGTTATCAGATTTGGGATGTTTTTTAAAAGACTGGCTCTCATTATGTAGTGCAGGCTGGCTTTGAACATGCTTGTGTAGCCCAGGCTGGTCTCAAACTCAGTTATCTTCCTCCTCAACCTCCTGAGGGGTGAGATTAAAGGCATGCACAACCACATCTGGCTTATAATTGTTATTGATAAATGAATGGAGTACTTCCTCTTATCATTGGGCTTTTTCTGTTTTTGACAGTACTACAGATTAAACACAGGAGCTTCATATTGAGATATATCCATGGTCCTTTTTATTTTTTGAGAAAGATTCTAAGTCACTAAACTAAGCACTAAGTAGGCTTAAACTTGCAATCTTCCTGCCTCAGCCTCTGAAGAATCTGGGACTATCGGCACATGCCATTGTACCTGGAAATACTTATTTTCTAACATTTTCTTTTATTCCTACATTGTTTATTTCCTTCAGTGTTTGTTCTGGTCTCATTTATTCATTCACTTTTGAGACAGGGTCTCCCTATGTAATACAGGCTGAACTTAAACTCACTATGTGGTCCAAGCTGGCCTCAAACTTATGGCAATCCTCCTATCTCAGCTTCTTATATGCTGGGGTTACAGGTACATGCCACTATGCCTATCAGTTTTTTGTTTTTGTTTTGTTTTGTTTAATGCGAAGTCTTTCTTTGAATGTCTATGATTCCTGATGTCTGTTCCTACTAGAGAAGAAAAACACTAAAACCTGACTATAAGCTCTGTGGACAGGTAAATCCTGCCAACTGTATAAATGTCACATCACTGCTGAAACACAAGCACCAAGCCTGGTGAATTTTAAATAGTATCTGTATTAGTCAGCTTTTTGTCACTGTAATCAAATTCCTGAGAAAATTATTTAAAAGAGGAAAGATTCTTTTTAGCTCACAGTTTCAGAGGTTTCAGTCTATAATTGGCTGGTTCCACTGCTGCAGCATTGAGGTAAGATGGAACATCATGGTGGAAGGGCATGGTATAGCCAAAGTGTTCTTCTCATGGTAGCCAGGCAATAGACAAAAAAGGAAAGAGCCAGAGAGGAAGGGCCTGGGACCAGGGCTATTTCTCAAGGTCACACCTCAATGATTTACTGCCCTAACTAGGTCCCACCCTCCTGTTTCCATCACATCCCAATAATACCATCAAATGATGACCTCACTGCTGGAGCCCAGTCACCTCTCTAGGGCCTACTCCTAAACACTGCTGCACAGTACACTAAGACCTCAGTTACAGGCACCTTTGGGGGACATTTCATAATTAAACCATCAACAGCATCCTTCAAGGTTATTCCTCTAGGGCCATCAACTTTTCCAGGAAATCCTCTAATCATCTTCTGTAGAACATGTAGAACAGTGCAATGGCTGCTGTGTTCCATCTTCTGAACATCTGTAGAAATCTTGCTCCTGAAAACTTTGGTCATTTTATTCATTCTTGTGGTTTTTATCTTCCTATCTTTAACTTTTTTTTTTTTAATCAGTACCGGGGATCAAACTCACGACCGCCTGCTTGCAAGGCAGGTGCTTATGCCGCTGAGCTAAATCCCCAGCCCCCTATCTTCCTACCTTTAAAAAAAATTTTAACCTTTTTCTAACCTGGAAGGAAACAGATCTGATGTATGATCAATTTATCAAATGAAACCAAAGATCTATGAAGTAATTTTGAAAAGAATGACTAAGAATTATAATTGCCCTGGCAACTTGCTGCATCTTCTGAGGCCCCTTTTCAAAGGCACACTTGAAAACTTATTTTAGAAGAGGGTATACAATTATATAATGGCCTCTTCACAAAAGAATTATGTATTTATAAGATGTTAACTGTACTTGATAATAAAGAAAGTAGTAACAAAAGCTTAAGAGAGTCTTTTCAAAAGCAAAGAAACTATACAACACAACCTTAGAACTGTTTACAAGAAAACTATAGGCTGAAAATATGGCTAAGTGGTAGAGCACTTGCCTATTACACATGATCACTGGACTCACTCACTCACACATACATATTCTGCTGTGTTAGGTCAGTATTTCTTCATAAGTTTGGTTTTAAGAGCATGGTCACCTTTTTCAGGTTTTCAGACAGTGGTGAACTGTCAATGGTCAGGCAAGGCTCAATCTTGTTCCGGAGGACCATGACAGGCTGCTGCGTGCCTGACTTCAGCTTCTGCAACTAAGTGATACAGACATTAGGTAGTATCTGCTATAAGCCATTAGCACAAAGTACCAAGAACTTTACACAGAAGAAAATACAAAATTTCCAGGTGAAAACCTAGGTATATATGGTTCCTGAGAAACACCAAAACTACCAAAATGAAAAAATCATCTAACCAAATAAAAATATTTCTTTGATACAGTAAGTCAATAGATAATTTTTCAAAGATGTTTTTAGGCAAAGCTCTCCACCTAAGGAGCTTCTCTTATAATCACAAGACTGGCAGAAGGAAGAAAGATTTTTAAGAATAAAGAGTTTTCTATTTAACTTAACTATTTAACTTTTTGTAAGGCTTGTAATACCTGCTGCAGATCAGAGATTCCATCAACTCTCAAAGGATCAGGGTTTAAAAATTGCAGTAATCTGTAAAATTGTTAAAAGAATAATTTCAAGATAAAAGTATATTTCCTCAATTGAACTATTAATTCAATTCTCCCTCTTGACACAGGTCTCATGGTATAGCTATCACAGAACTGTGTTCTGTTTTTCTTGGTTTATTAGGAAATGAAGGTCATGTTGGCCAGATCAATTTTGTGTTCCTAAGTCTAGGCCTATGTCTGGGCTGCATCCATGTCCTGCAAAATAGTAAAAGGAGGCTCAGCCAAGCTTAGAGATCACTGAATTTGGTCTACTTCATTAGCTTTATTTTATAGATGACAAAACAAGACTCAATAGTTGAATATGACGGCACATACTTGTAATACTATTCAAGAGGCTGTGATAGGGCCAAGTTCAAAACCAGGTGACTTAGGAAGACTCAGGCTCAACATAAAATTCAAAGAAAGAGCTTGAACTATGGCTTAGCGGTAAAGCATGTGTGCAAGGATCAAAGTTTCACCTCTGGTACTGAAAAAACAAAACCCTCAAAATAAAGAAATCCTGCAAAAACTAGATGTGACTTGTCCCCTACCAGTTCTGCTCACTCATACCCAATGTCAATATAAGTAAGTGTGGGTCACAGATTAACTTAAACTAGGTTAATCTTTGGTCACCCCAGGGTGCTTTGTGCTATACTAGGCCATACGATTATTTGCTCTGCAGGAAGTCTTACAAATGCATTGTGTTTAAGTTAATGAATACAGAACCTTGAGACTCAGTAGAATGCTGCTGGGACAGCATGAAATACCTATTAAAATGTGTTCAAAAGAACAGTAAACACAAAGGTCCTATATAGAGATGGTCCCTGGGATAAACAATTAAGTCACCATTTATCTAAACTTTACCTTTCTGATATCTGCTATTGTTCTTTGTAAAGAAAAGACTCTAATAAAAAGCCAGAGAAAACTGTAATCAGGGCTTCAGTCTTAGAGGCTGTTGCATGGCCCCCCAACATCCCATAACTTTCTCTCTCTCATTTTCTTTTTATCCACCACACCTCATTTTCAGGACCTGTTTGAATATGGTCCGCCAAAAGCAACAGAAAATTCACAAACCACTTTCAGTGCTTAGGGTGATAGATGGTGGATTAAATATCCAAGTCAACTTGCACTGTTCTCCAAAACCCCATCCCTATAAATGGAATTTTTAACACTAAAACAGCAAGATCAAAATGTTTATCAACTAAAGAATAAATAAATAAAATGTGCCAGATCCACACAATGGGATATTAGCCATAAAAAGGAATGAATAATCATTTGTGTGGAAGACAGATAAATTTTGAAGTTTTGTTAAATGAAAGAAGCCAGTCACAAAGACCACATAATGTATGGTTCTGTCTATATATAATGTCCAGAACAGGGAAATCCTTAATAATAGAAGAGATAAACTAGTGGTTATCAGAAAATGGGGAAGAGTGGGAAGTGGTGAGTGAGTCCTAGTGTATAAACACTTTTCAGGGGAGGTGATGAAATGTTTTGAAATTAAGACAACGCTGATGGGTTTCACAAGCCTGAAGACATTCTAAAAACCACTGAATTGTACATTTTAAAGGGGTAAATTTTATGGATGATAAATCATATCTCCATAGATTATTTTTAATCACAAAGAAGGAAAAGACAGAGGAGACAATATCTGTGTATGTATGTATTTATATATACAGACACACACATAATTTTTTTGAGATAGGGTCTCACTTTGCAGTTCAGGCTGGCCTTGAACTCACAGCAATCCTCCTGCCTCAGCCTTCTAGGATTATAGGCATGTACCACCACAGCTAGCTGTAATCATAGTTTAGAACAGATGGATCAATGGTAAGTGACTCAGCAGAACTGCAACAGCTCAGTCTGAGCCATCCAGGCAAGGCCTAGCCCTGCTTGCACAGAGCAATCTTCAGAAAGTGTGGAAATGATGATCAAGTCTCTCCAGCAATGGTAGTAACATATGGGTTAAAATACAGGGGTAACTCCCAGATCCCCAATGCATCAGTTTAGACTGCTACCAACTCCCATCCGAGGGGAAGACTAGAAAAGTGACGCTCTGGAGAAGATAAAAGCTGAGCTCTCAGGATTGAGGCACTAGAGACACAGCCCTGACAGAGGAACTACACTGAAATGGGGATCCATAGGCATCTTGTGAATACTAAGACCACAGCTGGCTTCTGCCTTTCTGTACCTAGGACCACCTACAAAGGAAGTCTTCACTCAGGGGCAAGGGCTAGCAGAAGCCTCTCTGGGGAGTCTGATCCACCTAAGGCAAAAGACCAGAATCTGAGTTCAAAGATACCCTATTAACAGCAGTTCCTTTCACAGACTGACTCTCAGTCAATACACCAGTGTAGACCTAGTCCTTCATTGGTACATTAGGCCCCCATATTACAGGTGAACAGTCAGTCAAAAAGCTTCTGAAGAAGGCCTCACAAACACCACAAACAAAAACAGAGTAATTCAACTTGTAAGAAATGGAAACATCACAAAAAGAAAGCTTTCCGCCAAATTATTAGTACCTCATCCTTGGAGAATTGGGAGAAAAAAAAATTACCCATATGAAACAAGCATAGAACACTATTTTTTTAAAAAGTAAAGCAAAATCACAGAGTGGAGCCAGGCATGGAGGTACACATCTGTAATACGATTCACAAGGCTGAGGCAGGAGAATCAAGTCTGAAGCAAGCCTGAGCAACTTAGGAAGACACTATTTAAAACACACACACACACACACACACACACACACACACACACACACACAGTAGGTATGTAGCTCAGTGTGAAGGCCCTGGGCTTAATCCTCAGCACCACAAAATAAGATCTCTCCTGCCCAAATAAAAACTCAATAAAAAAAAATGAGCAACTAAAACAAACAGACACTTCTTGGAAGTACACATGACCAAAAAGTACTTGAAAAAATGTCAGCATCTTTGGCTGAGATGCACATCAAAACAACACTTAGATTCTACTGTACTCTAAAAAAAATGGCAATAGTCATGAACTCAAAATACAAGAAGTTGGTGAGGTTGTGAGGAAAAAAGAACCCTTCTACACTAATAGTGGGAATGTAAATTAGTACAACCGCAAAGGCAATCACTATGGAGATTCCATAAAAAACTAAAAATAGAGATTCTAGTTGACTCCACTATTCCTCCTCTGGGTCTCCTACTAAAAGAATAAAAGGCATAGTATAGGAATACATAAATGCCAACATTTATAGCATCACAACTCACAATAGCTAATTCTTGGAAGGAAGTAGCCCACATATCCATCAAAATGCACACACACACACACACACACACACACACACACACACGAGTATTACTCCACCAAAAAGAAGGATAAATTTGAGCCATTTCTAGGAAAGTGGATACACCTTGTGATCATAATGCTAAGTGAAATAAATCAGACCCACAACATTAAATACCACATGGCTTTTCTTACATGAGAAACCCAAACAAAATATATGTAATAACAAACAGGGAGGCAGATCTTTAGCAGATAAGAGGTGAACTAAGGATGTAGCCAGAGAGGAGAAATGAGAAGGGAGAAAGGAGAGAGGAAGTAGAAATAAAAAGGCCTATGCTGTACTATGTGTATGTTCTAGCTCCCTACAGTGAATGTATTCCTTATGTATCACAAAAGTATCTCTTAAAAAAGGACCTTTAAAAAAATGAAAAAGAAAATCAGGTCAGATGACAGCCACACCTCCCAGCTCTAAATTCATCTCGATAGAGAACCCTACTATTTGTCATTGCTGAGAGGCAATGCGATGGTGTCTAAAAGACCCAGTTTATAGCTGTTACAAATGGGTAGATAATGGCCCCTCTCTGAGCAGCTAGGGATATGGGCTGGTTTGGGAAAGGAGACACAGGCTGAGCATACATCTGTCATTATGGGCAACTCCTTAGCACAACTCATGCACAAAGCTTGCTTCTTGAAACTTATGTAAATTCCATAAACCCCTCAATACAGACACAATATCTTCTGCCTTGCTATCCACAACAGTATAGGCCAGCCCTTGGTAAGTTATTCCCATAAATATTCTGGACTGAAAAATAATAGTAAGGAATGAGAAAGGAGTAGAACTAACCCTGGACCGTAGAAGGTAGAAGTACCTTCAAAAATTGATACCCAAAATGTGAATCAAGTGAAGACAGTCTAAAAGTATTTTTGCAGTCTCAAAAATGTTTTCATTTATGTGTCCCTTTCTCAGGAAAGTAATGGAAGATGTTCTCCTCCATACAAGGAGTAAACCAAGTATGAAGATGAAGATTCAGAAAGAAGTTCTCAATTCAGGAATGATACCAGAAATATGAAGATATTGGTTACGATGGACACAGGACAACTCAGCACAGGTCACACCAGGTGGAGGTCTCAAGAGATGTAAGAAAAAATATTTTGGTTTAGACAATACAAAGATATTCTCAAAATGAATTAATGAAGATACGTAAAAAAATAGTAGACAATAATGTTTAATAAAGCCAAGCAGCTGTGACAGAACAGGAAAGCAGCCACATCATTGCACATCATTGCATGGCTCAGCCTGTTGACACTGACCATGCAGCTCACTAGAATCTGACACAGGGACAGTGTGATCATTGGAGAAGCCACATGTGATATGACTTCAGAGTAGGAAGGAGGAGAGTGAACAGAGCTGAGTCTGTCCACAGTCACCTTTGACAGAGCAGTTCTGGCCAAGAACAACTGTCAGTCACCAAAACCCAACTGCCTACTTATACAGCATTCAGCATGGGTGTTAGTGTTAGGAAGGCACCAGAACCCTAACTGTGACACAGAAGGAGACTGTGTCACATATGAAGAATATGTGTATTTAGAGGAACTTCCCATCTTAAATAAGTGAATGCTACAAAGTAGGGAAATGCTGAGATGTTTACAGAAAGACAAGTGAAGAAAAAAGAATACATATAACAGGTATTAGCATACATGAAGGTAAAGAACTACAAAGAAAGCTACAAGGTTATATTAAATATTATTGATGATACTATGGTTTCTCTTCAGATCGTATGAATCTCTCACCTTTTAAAAATATCATTGAAGATATCTTAGTCATTTTCCTTGTCACTGTGACAAAATATTTGACACTTGAAACTAAAAAGAAAGGTTTATTTTTGCTCATGCTTCAGAAGTTCCAGCTCTTGCACGCTTTGAAACATGGTGGAAAGACCTGGGCAGAGGAAAGCTGCTCACTGGTATGGAGGCCAAAAAACACAAAGCAAAGGGAGGAATTAAGAGGGAGATATACCCTTCCAGGTCACGTCCCAGGTCAACCAGACCCCATCTCCTAACAGCAAGTTAGTTATGAGAACCTGTAGTTCAATCACCTTCCAAGTCTCACTTATGAGACCTTTGAGGAAAATGTAGATATAAACCATAATAGATGACAAAAAGGGAGCAAGCAGGCCACCAACAGCATGTTCCTATACCCAGATGAGATATCCTAACTATAAAAATATTCTTCCCCAGAACAAAATAGTCTTCAAAATAATGCTTCAGGGAGCTGCCACCGAGAAAAGGAATGGAAACTCCTCAAAATTGCAATAGATTAGAAATTAAATTTCAATCTAAGTTGTTAAGTCATCTCCAGAATATCTCAGAGGAACAGAGAAGTCTCTTTTGGATCCCCAAAGAGAAATTTGCTGTGTGGGCCCCTGAACTGTGAATGTAGACCTTGACTCTCTCTTGCTAAGTCAAGATCTAGGATTCCAAAGGCGAAAGCAATATGCAATTCCAGAATGGGAAATATTATCAAATAATGAGATGATCTTTTCCTGAATTTACTACAATCTGAAGTATTATAAATGAGTTCAGTGAAGGACATAAATCAGTGAAGGACAAGGAAGAAACAGAACTGGCTGCAGATCCTTACAGCGTGAGCAATCTTAATTGTACATGAAAAAACCTGAGGTTTCAGAGGAGGTTGGGCACAGTGGGGGCTGGTGGTGTGGGGTGTGCCTAGTCTTCAGGGTAGCCTTTTAAAGCAAGGCAAGACTTATAGAGAAATTCCAAAGTCACTATGTACCCCTCCCTAGCATGATTAATGTCATTGTTATCACATACTACACTACAGGAGTGATCAAAATATATGGTAAAAGTTAAATTTTTAAAAATTACAGTAACACATATTGCTTTGAATATCCCACAAAATTCTTTCCCTTTCTTTAAACATACTTATCCCATCATTCTTGACACTTTCTGAAGCAGTTCTAAGTCTTCTTTCCTAAGTGTCTCTATGAAGTTTGATAAAAAATACGGTGAATGCCACTATCAAGTGCCATCCAACAAAAAAGTGTCTTGTAAAAACAAGATGGCATCTCTTCTGATGCTGTGCAACTTTTGGTCCTTCCATAAAGACAAAATGACCATGAAAGGCAAATGTTTTGAATGAATTCAGCACACTGAGGCAGCCACAGCAATGTAACTAAGGACACCATGAAAAAGAACTTGCAGCACTGCTTCAGAAAGTGGCAAGAATGATGGGAAAAGTGTGTTCAAACAGAGGAAGCACTGTGCGGGGGAATAAGGGCAATGTGTCCTTTACTGTAATAATATTTTAAAAACCTGAATATCCACCATATGCTTTGCTTGTACCTGCTATATGATGCCTGCAATGGGCCATCTCTGAAGAAAAGATGTCTTTTCTCCAGATTGCCTTTAATACTGGTCAGAAATAACAGCTACTCATTTTCTCAGGCTATGGGCACAGTGTGCTGATAATAGCACCACAGGCTGGCCAGAGACAGATTGCACTGTCACCAAGTTGCCCTTGGGTTTCTAGGAAATGCACTGCCTCCTTTGCCCTTTGCTGCTTAATCTTGAATTACTTCAAGGTTTTCTCAGCTCACAGCAGATAGATGGAATAACCCATGTACTTTCATCAATAGGTTCCACATCAAAGGCTTTCAGCAGAACAGTAGATAAGATAGAGCTTTCTAATTCAGAAGTAAAAGGGAAGAGAATACATTAGGTATAAGTTGCCATGTTATAATTTTTTTTAATGAGCAGCATAAACAATGAAAGGCCTTTTGTTCCAAGGCAAAGAACCACTTAGAGTAGCAAAACTGAGTGAAGGGGTGCTCTGGGAGGTGAATGTCAAACGAGGTGCACAAATAGCCATGCCTTCCCTACCCTGTGCTATGAACTCCCTGGAAAGGCCCATGCCCTGGAATACTGTGAGCATGGTGGGCATCAAAGTGACTTCCAGGAAAATGAGCATCTGGATAGCTGTGCAGTTGACATCCTCCAACCGCATGTCAATGAATGGATATAAGCACAACCCACTCACCTCTGAGCTGTCTTGAAATCTACATCACTCTGGTTACTCCAGAGTATCCTTACTTACTTGGAATGTAAAATTGTTTAAGCTGCTGAAGACTAATATGATATAAAAAAAACATGAAAATCATTTGTGGGTTAAAAAATATGAAGCTAGTACCCTGTGGCTCATAAAGCAAGAGTCAGGCCCATTTAACATCAAAAAAGTGAGAAGAAAGCAAACATCAATCCACAAAAAAATCTATAGCTCAAAAAAAAAATCAACTGTACCTAATTCACTTCATATTGTTTACCTCACCAAGAGAATGGGGCAGTGTACTCATACTGGATAAAAGGTTCAACAGAAAAATCAACCCTGGTGAACAGAAAAGAAGAAATTACCCTCAAAGCCTACAGGAAGACTTTATTTCACATACATTTTTTGATGGGAATGAAAAGTTTGAAATTAATAATAAACTACATAAGCTAGGCATGGCAGCACATGCATGCCTCTAATCCTAGTACTCTGGGAGGTTGAAGCAGGAAGATCACAAATTTGAGTTCCATCTGGGTAATTTAGCAAGACTATCTCAAAACAAAAAGGGGCTAGAGACATATCTCAATGCAAAGATGTGGATTTAATTCCCAGTATCACACTCACAAAGTTAAGATAAATCTTTTCCGCTTATAATTACAATTATTTCAATAAACAAAGTTAAGGAAAAGTTCTTACTTTACACAGCTATTCTTCTCATCGTATTCTTTCTTCTCAGCTAATCTTAGTGGTTTCTCACTTGGCTTCTGACTTAAAGCACTAGAAATTTTTAAAAAATCAACAGCTGTATTACAACTTGTGATTCCATTTATCCCAATATTGAAAACACCTTTATTTTCGGGGGTCGGGGGGAATTAAGACATGGCAGTGAGGAATCAATCATTTAGTCTACCTAAGAGAATTTCTGTGAAGACTAAGGCTTATCCCTGAGCTGGCCACATAGTCTGTCTCCTACTGACAACTCAAAACTCTGGACAGGGAGTGGAGTAAAGGGAGACAGAAGTAAAAATCTGCACACAGACAGGACCTGGAGCATTTCTTGGGCTGTCCCTCTTATCTGTTGGCTGAGGGTGGTAAGACCTGGATTTAGTAGCAGAGACAGGCATCACAAATTCTTAAGAGGCCCCTTTCACAGTCAGCAAACTGGAAAGGAAGCCCTTTATACGAGATTGTGAGGAATCCCTGATTTTTTAATTTTTTCTCTGTTTCTCTCCTTTATATAGAATTTATACTGTATCAGGTATTGTAAGTAGTGTGGAGATGATTTTAAAGTACATGGATCAACATGTATAGGTACTACACCATTCTATGTATAGGTACTACTACCATTCTATGTACAAGTCTTGAGCATATCCAGATTTTTGTATTCTCCAGGTCATGGGACCAATCCTCCAAAGATACCAGGGGATGACTTACTATAGAAGACCATGCATTACATGGAGGCTCCAGTGGGTTACACTAAATTTTCAAATCTTACCTTTCTGCCAGTACGTCTAGATCAGCATATATGGTTATGCCTCTTTTTATTGGCCAGTAAGCTGAAGATTCAACACACTATAAAAAGTATTGAGAAAGAATATGTATGTTTAATAAGATGTATATTTTTTTGGAACCAAAATTCTATGGAAATTGTCACAACCATTATGGACAAATTTTATGCACACACAGATAAGGAGACAAAGAGCTGGCAAGTTGGATGATTATGCTGTGACTATAATCACTAGACTAAAATATCCAAATAGTAACCAGCTGGCATTTCAGATAATTACTCTTTAAACTGGACCACAATTACTTTTACCTGTCTTGTGCAAAGAACTGGAAGGCAATTTAGAATTAAAATTAACTATTTGAGTGCCCTCAAATTTCAGATTTCCACATCCTTACTAAAATGATGATAAATTCCTGATTTTATACATAGGCCCTTACTCAACAAAAACAAGAGCTTGATAAGAAAAAGTTGGAATTACCTTGCTCTTTTAAAATAAGCAAACATGTAAAGTCTATTTTTTCACAAATAAAACCACTATAGCCAAATATTTTTAACTGAAATATTCTTGGGTTCATAATAGAAAAATGTTATTCACTCTATATGAACTTTATATTTAATGAACATTTTAAAAACACAACGGTATTTACATCTTTTAAAGAGACACACTGTGGCTGATGTTCAGATTTTTTTTTAGATGAGTCTCTCAATGAATCCATATTCCATTTTACAGCTTTATCTGCAAGATAAAATAGTAAAAAAAACTACTTTGATAAACTACTTTGATAAGAAATACAACAAAAAAGCATACAAACAAATATCACTGTAAAATCTTAATACATGAAGTTATTTTGTGTATTTAACTTTACCCAATGGAATTAAAGTTCTAAAAAATTCCCATACCAGCTTACCAAGAATAAAACAATTTATTTTCCCAAATTGTCAGGCTATATTTTCCAAAGAAGGTCACAACTGTGTTACCTACACACATATTCTTCTTATAATGTGACTCTTGACTCTTACTGAGATGCAATCTGTATTTCTTCCCCATGAACCTGGGTGGGCTAATAACAACATGAGGGTGATGTGAAGTGACTCTAAAGCTACATCACACAAACACACTTGCTAACTTGTTGTCTGGGTTATGCACCTCTGAAGTTCAGCTGACATGCTGTGAGGAAGCCCAAAAAACCAAATGGAAAGACCATGGTGAGATTCTGGGTGACAGACCCAATCAAGGTCCCATGCAAAAGCACGCATCAACTGCCAGAAACGTAACTGCATATGTCTTTGACGAATCAAACTGGCTAGTTATACCAGGCTTTATATCTTCCCATCTGAAGACCCAGACACTGGAATAGAGAGAAATCCTGCTCCTGTGCCCATTCTGGAATCCATTAGTATCATGGAAGTTACCATTTCACATCACAAATTTGGTAAGACGTGTTATCAGATAATAGTAACAGTATCAATCAGAACTCAGTGTTAGCCGTGGTTCAGGATTACAGTTGTACATCTCATATCGTAATTGAATACTACACACAGAAGCTATTGAATACAGACTGAATTAAACCCTGGAGGTATCAAAACTGTAAAGCAAAAGAAATTTTAAAAATCAAACAAAAAAAGAAATTGGAAAACATTATACACCAGATTCTTTCAAGTACCTTTTATCCTCTAGACCTCGAAGTGGCAAAAGTTGTTTAGTTAATAATATAGATATCAAGCTAGCTAATTTAAACATTGGTGTAAAAACTGAGGCATGTCTTCAAGTAAAAAAAAAAAAAAAAACAAAGGAAACCCAACTCAGTGATTATATGTTAGAGAAACACTGAAACAATTCTAGAAGTGCTGACTTTAACTATTTAGAAAGAGAAATACATATTGAAATGAGTTACAACTTTCAACTATTAAATAATACAAATCACTAAAGTAATAGCAAACACTAGAAATCTGTAATACTGTAAACATTTAATCTTTCCTTAAAGTACTATATAGTATGCAATCTTGGAGCCTAGAATCATATTTTTTTTCAGGTTAGCTTTCAGCCAAAAACAAACTTATCTGGATCCAGAAACAGAGGTGGTAATTAAAATCCACCAAGAAAAAACATCCATATGGGGCAAGCTCTTTGTGCTATGTATGTGTCCCCACAATGAATATAATTCATGAATATTATATACTGAAAATACATACTAATAAAAATTTTTTAAAGTTCTTAAATAAAAATCACAGAGACTACGGCCCTTCAAGGGGGAGAACCAGCAGCAGCTCCTGAGATCCACACCATGTTGGAACTTAGGACCCTGGGAAACCAAGCAAGAAGCTCACCTCCATGGTAAGCAGTGGCGGTGTGGCAGTCTGCAGCCCTTCCAGGGGGAGAACCACAGTGTCTCCTGAGATCCGTGCCATGTTGGAACTTAGGACACTGGGAAGCCAGGCAAGCACCTCCCCTCCCTGTTTAGCAGTGGCAGACTGTGGCCCTGCCAGGGGGAGAACCACCAGTGTCTCCTGAGATCCACGCCATATTGGAACTTAGGACCCTGGGAAACCAAGCAAGAAGCTTGCTCCCTGGTAAGCGGCTGCAGTGTGGAAGACTGCGGCCCTTCCAGGGGAGAACAACCAGTGTCTCCTGAGACCCGAGCCATGTTTGAACTTACAAAGCTGGGAAAGCAAGCAACCAGCCTGCCTCCCTGCTAAGCAATAATGAACTTACTGGTGCACAGCCTAGAGTCAAACATCCCACTTCCCCTATGCCCTTCTATTGTTCCCCGGTTAGCAAATGGGAACCAGAAATCTGAGCATCTCCTGGGAGGCTGACCATAGCAAATAAGGGGGATTTCCTTTTACCATCTCTTTGAAGGCAAATATTTTTATTACTGTTTTGCGCTTTTCTGATTAATGATACTGCTCTATTCAATATTCTGTTTTGATAAGTTCTGTAATGTTCTGTATTTCATTTTATTTTGATACACATGATTGAAAGAACTATTACAAAGATAACAAAATATACTGTGATACCTATTACTGTCATCCCAGTAACCTGCTGTGAAGTTCTGTACCAATTTCACTGTACAATCTTAGTTGGCTTTATTCTGTCTTGTGCTGTTGTATTTTACTACTTTCAACATAAAATTAAAAAAAAATAATAAAAGTCACAAAGTATTTGATGCTATTATAAATGATAATAAGGGAGAGATAAAAAGTATCCTGAAAGCTGGGTATGGTGGCTCACGCCTATAATCCCAGCACTCAGGAGGCTGAGGCAAGAGGACCTCCATGAGTTCAAGGCCAACCTGTGCTACACAGTGAGTTCAAGGCCAGCCTTCACTACACGGAAAGACCCTGTCTCAGTGGGGAGAAAAAAAAGACTGAAGGGCTGGGAATTTAGCTCAGAAGCCTAAGTGCCTGCCTGGCAAGTGCAAGGTCATGAGTTCAATCCCCAGTACCAAAAAACAAAAAGAAAAGTCTGAAAAGGACCATAGTATAAATCTATTTAAAATATTTACCATGTACTAACTCCTCACAGGGAATATAAACATTATGTACTATAAACATGTACTAATGACAATTTAAAAATTAAATACCCAGTAGATAAAGAATAGTATTTATGGGTAAAAATTCCCTAAGATAAATGTGATCATTATTTATGGCAAATGTGTACTAATAAAAAGAATAGCACTAATGAACCAAAACAAGTAGATATGTAAAATAGGCAAATATGAAAAAGAATCAATTACAGCTGGGCATAGTGGCAAATGCCTGTAACCCCAGCACTTGGGAGGCTGAGGCAGAGGATCAACATGGATTTGAGGCCAGCTTAGGCTACATAATAAATTCTATACCAGTCTGAAGTGTATAGCAAGACACTGTCTCAAACAAAACAAAAAAAAACAGTTAGAACTCTAAGCAACATGCCACAGTCATCAGGTTGCTGGGTTGAGTGGTACACATTTTTAGCCTCAGGTATTCAGAAGGCTGACATTAACAGGAACGCTTGAGCCCAAGATTTTGAGGCCAACTTGGGCAACAAAGCAAGGTCCCGTCTCAGAAGCAAATAAAAATCAAACCTCTCAGAAAGCAACTCAGAGATACAAAATGGAAAAAGGTTTTTAAAAAGGCTGAAGAGAACTAGATGCCCTGATGTGGTGGATCATACCTGTAACCCCAGCACTCAGGAGGCTAAGGCAGGAGAATCTCTGTGAGCTACAAGGCCAGCCTGAGCTATGAAGTAAGTTCAAGGCCAGCCTGAACTGCACAGTGAAACCCTATTTCAAAAAATAAAACAAACAAACAACAAAGAAAGAACTAGATGACAGATGAAGAATCTTTGACTAGACTCAATTCAGCAGTAATCACAAATGGAAGTACATATTAGTATAGATTCCTTTTTTTTCAAAACATTTATAGAAGAAAGATAAATGTGTGAGCACATATACACAAGCTCTTGCTTTTCGGTACATAGATATAAAATACACAAATGTACACTTACATATACATATACACATATAGAGAGATACATACACAGTTCCTAGGTCTGTCCACTATCAGTGCCTGAGAACAATGACACCCTAGTAGCAAAAAAACACACCTCATTTTAAATCTTGGCTTGAAATTATGATTCTCCATAATGGGAGCCAAGGCAATCTGGAGAAACCATTGATTTCAGGTCTGCAGGAAGCGTGGAGGTAAAGCATCTGCCTACCATGAGGCCCTGGGTTCAATCCCAAGAATCACAAAAGAAAAAGACAATTTTATTGAAATGACAGATATAAACTTCACAAGAGCAGAGACTGGTCCTTCCCAGGTAAGCCCCTAAAACAATTGTGCTTCATAAATACATGGGTGAGTCAATGTGGATTTGGGATGTCACAATTCTCATATAAGTCAAGACAATTCCAGGAGTACAGGCATTTGCCACCATACATGGCTCTTATTTCCAAGTTTAAAACAATTATATGTATTGTATTTGAGTCTGAATTTTTTTAAATTTTATTTTGAAGATAGTAAAAATGCAACAGAACAAGACAGAACAAAGCCAATCAAGACAATGCAGTAAAATTGGTACAGAACTTCACAGCGGGATACTGGGATAGCAGTAATATTTTTGAGACAAGGTCTCACCATGTAGTTCAGGCTGGCCTTGAGCTTACTTAAGTAGCCCAGGCTGGCTTCAAACTCATGGAGATTCTCCTGCCTCAGCCTCCTGAATGCTAGGACTATAAGCGTGTGCCACCACACCTGGCAAGTCTGAATCATTTCAGATGCTACCAATTTCAATGATACATGTCTACATTCAGTCATTCACCCATTTTCCCATCCCCCCTTTTTGTATGAGGGATCAAACTCACAACCATGCACTTGCAAGGCAGCGCTTATGCCCCTGAGCTAAACCCCTGGCCCCTTTTATTTTTGGAAATGGATCCTACCATATTTCTCAAGCTGGCCCTAAATTCCTAAGCTCAGGTGATTCTCCTGCCTCAGCCTGCCAAATAGTTGGGACTACAGATATGTACCACCACATCTGTTCATGTGCTTGTTACGTTCTTTACCCCATGAAATCTCTAACTATAGACTGCAGGGTTAATGATCACTGTTGGCATTTTTTCCATAAATTAGTTACATTATGAAGAAGCTAGGGGAAAGAATTACCATAGTCCTTTTAAATAGCTGTCTTTATAATCCCTAAACTGTTAAGGGGCTGCAGGTGTAGCTTAGTGGTAGTTCACGTAAGGCTTGGGTTCAAACTCTGGCACCAAAATAAATGAATGATAAATGAACCAAACTAGCAAGACTCACCCAGTACTGCAGCAGCTGGTCCAAGGTCACCAACAACACCCTTGTACCATGTGTGCTGGAGAGACTGTGTCAGAAAATCTAAACCACGTGAACCTGAAATCACAAATTTCAAAATTAAACCATGAAATAAAAAACAAAACATGAATTGGTTGATACAATTTTGCACTTGCTTTACTATAAAGTTAAAGAAGCCCTAACAAGAGGGCAGCTGCATGTGAGGGGACTAAAATCACAAAGCAGAGAGAACACTTAAAACTGTTTTCTGTGGTCCATTACTCTCTTCTCATATTTTCATGCTAAGATCATTTGCATTAAATAGCTCTTTTTAAAAGTACATAAAATCCAAGCCACCCTGATTGACATGCTTTGAAATTTTGCTTTAGTTTTTTTCCCCTTTTTTGTTTTGAATAAAGTGAATTTGAGAAATAAAAAAAAAAAAACCAAACCAAGAGCCAGGAGTGATGGTACATGCCTATAATCCTAGCACTCCAGAGGCTGAGGCAGGAGGATTGCCACAAGTTCAAGGTCAGCCTGAGGTACACAGTGAGTTCAGGGGCAGCCTGAACTATACAGCAAGACCCTATCTTAAAAACAAAAACCAGGTATGGTAGTACATGCCTATAATCCCAGGCCATGGGAGACTGAGACAGAAGGACTGCCAGGAGTTCATGGCCAACCTTAACTACATGATAAGACCCTGTTTCAAAAAAACAAAAATAAACTAATAATTCTAAGCATTCAAAATCCTGCTTTGTTAAAATCTTTAAATTACAAACAACAAGACTTCTAAAAATGTACTGCAATGTTAACAAAATATTGAGAATAGTTTTTTCCTGGTTTCGTAAAAACAAATTATAAGAGCTTTAGGACCATAAAATCTGTTACAGGCTCATCAAAATTAAACTTTAATTTTTAAACAGAATTCATGTCTGTCTCTATATATGGAAAGGTTTATAAACCTCTTTCTATCAATATACTGATATTAAAAAATAAAAACCATTTAAAGGAACTATACATTGGTGAGTATCCACTCACTTTTTGTTCCTTGAAAATCTTTTCTCTGCAAAAGCATTGGCCAAAGAGTAAGTGCTGGATTGGGTTTACTGGAAAAGGAGTCTGGCTTTATATTGAATCTTGCTTTCTCTGAATCAAGATATTCATTCTTTGTGGGTGATGCATAACACGCAAAGTTCTTTGCAACTAGATCATCATTAACACAAACCTGCAAAAAGTTAAAACATTTTATGGATGAGCATAGTCAAGTGACTGCAAGCATATCAAACTGAACCCCAAATTTCAATCTTCAGAAAAACTATAACACAATCTGACAGAGCCTGGACTTCTGCTTTGGTAACAGTGAACTAAATACTTCTTACCAACTCTGTACTGATGAAGGATCAGGAGGTATATAAAATAGAAACATCTTGAGGATGACACAAGATTACAGAGCCTGGTCAGGAAAAGATCTGGTGGGAGACACTAACTATAAAAGGAAAAATGGAGAAGTCAGAGTTTATCAAAACTTAAAACTTCTCTTCAAAAGAGAGAGAAGAAATAGAGCAAAAAATTTTTAAATCAAGTATCAGACTATATCCAGAATAAAGAACTGTCTCCAGTCAGTAAAAGAAAACAATGTGATGAAAAAATAAAACAAGCAAAAGACTTAAATGAATACTTCACATCAAATATATCAATTGTCATAAACACAAGGTGTCATTTGTCATTCAGAAAATGCACATCTAATCCACAAAGAGACACCACTACACACCTTTTGGAATGACCAGCAAGAGTCAAAGTGCTACAATTCCATTACTAAAGAAGCTGACGCAGGAAGACAGCAAGTTCAAAGTTGGCTTGGGCTACAGCGCAAGTTGAAGGCTGATCTAGACTACATAATAAGATCCTGCCTCAAAAGAATCTCTGAAAAATAAGTCAAAGACAAGGTGGAAGAATTGGAAGCTTCATACATTGATGAGAATATAAAATAGTCAACCTTGCTGGGGATTTAGTTCAGTGGCACAAGCACCTGCCTGGCAAGCATGAGGTTGTGAATTCAATTCCCGGAATAAAACAAACAAACAAACCCTATTTGCATGTTTCTTTAAAAATTTAAAGACAAAGGCTGGGGACTTAGCTCAGCAGAGTTAGCGCCTGCCTGGCAAGCATGAGGTCATGAGTTTGGTCCCTGGTACTGAAAAAAAAAAAAAAAAAAAAAAGAAAGAAAAGAAAAAAATACAGAAAAAAAGGAAACATTAGCTTGTGCTATCTAGCTATTTCTTTCAGCTGACCATGGTGGCACATGCCTGTAATCCCAGCACTTGGGCAGCTGAGACAGGAGGATTATTGCAAGTTCAAGACCAGCATGGGCTACAAAGCGAGCTCAAGGTGAGACCAAACTGCAGAGCAAGACCATGTCTCAAAAAAAAAAAAAAAAAAATCACACACACACAAAAATTTAAAAACAGAACTACTACATGATTCAGCAATTCTATCATTAGGTTTATGTCCAAAGCAAGTCCTCTTTGGAGCCGGGAATTTATCTCAGTGGCATAAGCACTTGACTGGTAAGTGCAAGGTCATGAGTTTGATACCTGGTACAAAAAAAAAAAAGTAAAATAGTCAACCACTTTGGGAAACAATATGGCAGTTTTTTAATACCTAAATACTATCCACAAGTTTTACTCCTAAATGTTTACATAAGAGAAATAAAAACATAGGTCCATAGGAAAACTTACACGTGAATATTTGCACTAGCCCCAAACTGACCACAAATCAAATATACATCGAGAATGGGTAAGTACATTCTAGTATATCTACATAAAAGAAAGTTCTTGACATTTAAGAAGAATGAATCACTGATATATGCAGCAACATAGATGTATCTAATTTGCTGACTGAGCCATAGATATGATTCGGTGGCACAGCACCTACCTTAGCAAGCATGAGGTTCTGAGTTCAATTTCCAGTACCAAACAAAAAGTAATAATCTAATTTTTCTGAATGAAAGGAGCCAAGCCAAAAAGTTAGAACACCCTGAGACATCCCTGTAGTCCCAAGAATTGTTGGCCCTATCTTCTGGCAATTATGACCTGTGCATCTCTTGGTAATTTCTCACTCAGCTAAGCATGGACCTCCCCACCTTTCCCACTCCACCACCATGAAATAAATGTAAGTCATCCAACCAAGATGGTGCAAAAGAGGGACCCAGTTTTTGAAAAGAGGAAACCAAGTCAGGAGAGAATTTATATTAGAAGAGATGTTTTACAAAATACTTTCTATAGCCAACATTTCAGTTTTTTTACCAATATACAAAATAAGCAGTGAAAAGTTACAGGTAAAATCAAGCAGGATGTAAGGAATCCAAAATGCACAGTAACTAGTTATCAAATGAACCTTACTACAAAAGAATAATCACACTGAAGAGAATGGGAAAAAGAAAAACCTGAGCAATTTTGAGAACAGTATTTTGGCTGTATATTTTAAGACTAGAGACAAATTTCTTTTTTATAGGAATTGTAGACTAGTGATTTTGAAATTATGTGAATAATAGGATTGAGCAAATAAACATACTGAAGCTAACAAGAGGATTTCTCACTACTGGAAAAAGGTGTTAAGAATAAGGAAAAACAAAGGGTCAGAATGGAAACTAGTTAGAGGGAGGGGTCAGAGACACAGGCACAGATGGCAGTGGTGTAAGTGGTTTAAAGTGTAACTCTTTCTGTTGAGAGGACATGTGCTCCTACACATACAGTGCCCTCATCTTACACTCATTAAAAAATGAGCTAGAGTTTCTTGAACTGGATTCCAGAGCTGTGGTTAAAAAAATGACACAATGATCCCATGGGACCAGAAAGTAGGGAGGGTTAAAAAATGATGGGGCACCTTGAAAAGTTGCAAACCACTGTGAAGAAATTTGTAAAGACCAATTCTTATTGAGAGAGAGAATAACAGGAATGGATCATAAATTCCAAATAAAATAACCAAACTCCATACTAATAGTGGTACAGGTGGATTGATGGAAACAGGTCAACACCACAGTACTAACATTTTTGCTTTGTGACTGGGTCTCACTATGTAATTTAAGATTGCCTTCAACTCACTAGGTAATCTAGACTAGCCTCAAACTCATGGCAATTCTCCTACCTCTCCTTTTGAGTGCTGGACCATGCATAGTCACAGTACTAACACTTAAAAGAACCATTGATGGATAGTTACACATCTCAAAATATCTCCCTATAATTAATTTCAAAAGAAAAAAACCAGCAGCTTTGAATAGGAAAGGCCTGCCAACACTACACTAACCAAGTGGTTAACTTAAATAATCACTAGTAGTTAGATATATTCCCAGCATGAATGCCTTTCAGAGATGCATTGAGAGGGTGCATCCTCACTTTGGGGGCATTCTAGGAAAAAATGCACTGCCTCAACTAATCTTCAACAAACAGCAGGTGCATCTGAAACAGCAGTCAGAACTTTTAGAAGTGTCAAGGGCATGAAAGGTGAGGGAAGACTGAGGACTGTCTCAGGCTAAAGAAGACAAAGGTGACAATAACAGCTAGAAACAGTGTGGGGTTCTGGATCAGCTCTTAGACTAGAAAAAGTACCAAGGAAACTGGCCAATTCCTATAAGGTCTTAGAATTTTTAAAAACAGTATTTATCAATGTTAACTTTCTGGTTTTGATGACTGTGCTGATTCTATACAATCAACATTAGGGGAATCTGTAATGTGTGTAAAGCACACACAAAAATCTCCACATTTATTCTGCATCTCTGCTGTCTAAAATTATTTCAAAACAAAAATGTTTAAATCCCTAGGTGGAAACGGCGGTATAGTTCATAGGTAGATTATGTGGTTAGCATGTGTGAGGCCCTAGGTTTCATCCCTGCCACAAGAAAGGGAGGGAAGGAAGGAGTCCCTAGCAAGATGCCCCTTATGGATTCTGAGTACCCAGGTCTGTGTTCTGTGCACAGAGCTGTATCTTGCCACACCCTTCAGAAACAGCAGCCAGCATGAGGGAGACTGCTCTCACATGCCATGTCCCCTTTCTTTCTACACTTAAGATCGCTGAATTCTTCCAAGGAGCACAAATTACAATGAGAAAATCTCAAAAAGAGGTGAACCACAGCAGATGAGTAAATTTATAGAAATAATGTCCTCTTATAAGAAAACATTTCATACTTATCACCACAGGAATAATTTCATTACCAAATGAGATCCCATCCTGGTAAAATGCTAAAGTAATTTTTAAAATAATCAAAAGACAGAAACATAATTGTGGCTAACTTCTTATTTAAGCTACCCCCGAAACATTAACAAGTAACTTCAACCATAACAAATGTTGGAGGGGCAGTGAGGAAAAAAAATCCTTCTGCACTGTTGATGGGAATGTAGACTGGTGCAACTACTGTGGAAATCAGTGTAGAGATTTCCTTAAAAACTATGATGAGAGATCCCATTTGAACCAGCTATTTCCCTTGGATATCATTCCAGAAAAATTAAAAACATCGTAACAGTGATATATGTGCACCCATGTTTACAGCAACACAATTTGTAATAGCTAAATCCTGGAAATGACCAGGATGCTCACCAACTAATAAATAGATTTAAAAAAAATTATGTGATTTTTTTTTGTATAATGGAGTACTGCTCCACCATAAAGGAGGCTAAACTGGAGACATTTATAGGAAAATGAATGCAACTCGAGACAATACTCATAAGTGAAATAAATCAGACCCACATATGTAAACAACATATTATCTAACTAGTGTGAGAAACTGAACAAGTAAACAGGATCCAAAATGTAAAATGGATATTGTGAATTGGGAAGAAACTTTTCAAAAGAAAAGACAAACAGTTATGGGAGAAAGGGGAAAGAAAGAAAGGGAAAAATAAAGAACTACATGTAACATAAGATAGTTACACAGCTCGCTTCTCTTAGTTCCTTGAAAAAGACGTTTTGTGCTAATATTGCTTTCACAAGATATCATGCCTGTATTTTGTACTCTGAGTAGCTACTAGGAAAACAAAAATATGCAATATATCAACTATTGTAACTGTCCTACTAACCTGTTTTGAAACTTGATTTCATTGTTATGCTTATCTTTTTTTAAAATAATATAATACTTTTTGGCCAGGCATTGTGGCACACACCTGTAATCCCAGCACCAAGAGGCTGAGGAACAAAGGACTGTGAGTTTGAGACTAGTCTGGACTACACAGTAAGTTCAAGGCCATCCTAGACTACATATAGACACCCTGTCTCAAAAAACAAAAACAATTTGTATGCTGTGTAAATTATACTGTTTCCTGAGGTTTATTGTTTATTAAATAAAAATTTAAGATAATGATAAAATATTTTAAAAATACAATTCTACTTACTTTTACATTTTTTATTGTTACATAAAGGTAAACCTCAAAAGTATCATCTTCCACAGCACATAATTTGGCTTGCACCTGGGTAGTTGCTAAAAGGCATAAATGAAAGCACAAATGAGCCAATATTAAATGCACATTTGAAGCAGTTAAGATTATTTTCTAGTCTCTGCAAACCACTTAAGAGTATCTAGTGCCAGAATGTTAATAGCTTGCTCAAGCAGGATGGCTCCCCAAACAAAGGCAGCAGAGGCTGGTGATCCACACAAGACTCCTAGCTGGAGTAGGGAGCATATCCTTTGTTCTCATCAACAGGGTCTTCCTGACACCCTAAAATAACCTCAAATATTTTTTTAGGTTCTATCTTCCCAAATCCTTTTACGAGTGCTCCATTTTAGCCACTCCCTCATATGGCTTATGGATCAGCCTTCTTGGCTAAGCTATCAGACTTAAGGACTCAAACAGCAGCTCCATTTAGGGACAGCTATCATGCACTGTGCCAAGTCATTTTTATACCACATTTCATTTATTTTTACCTCAACCCTTTGAAGTAAGTACTGCTGTCACTTTACAGGTGAAGAGACCAGGCTCAGAGAAAGTTAAGTGCCTGTTCAAGGCTACACCATAGGAAATGGGCAAAATTCAACTTACAATCTGCTTCTTGTAAACCAGTAATAGTGAACTTTTTAGAGTTTTCAATGATAATTAACAGCCCACTGTGACATGTGTGCAGTAGTTTCACCACCACTGCTTTCACCACCATATTCCTACCTCCCATCTCCCTTAAAGAGCATGCAAGGGCCCAGATTGCTGACCAAGTGAATTCTGTAATCTTCCACATCTCCTAGTTCAAAGCATTGGGTTTTTCCTTTACCCAGACAATAGGAGACCAGGACCAACCAGGCACCTCACACCAACTCAGGGGGAGGAATGATCACTACCAGAGGGTAGGAGGACAGACGCTAGGAAAGGGACTATATTTTATGTCAGTGATATAAAATAAAGTACCCTAAACAGCCAGACATCTTGTATCTATTAAATTAGCAATGATGATTACACAATATATAACCCTTGTGCATTAAAGTCAGCATTTTATCAATTAGTTCAATAAAATGTTCATCGATGTATTTTATATTGTTGAAATTTTTAAGAGGCAAGGATGTAGGGGTACATCCACAAGAACAGCCCCTTTCTAATTTCAGTTGTCAACTGCTGATATCCTCATCCACTCGAGTCCCAGAGGTACAGTCAGAGTGACATCTGCAGTGGAAGAAACTTCAGGTAATTACGAAACCCATGTGGAGTAGGCCCTGGCAGGCACATCTCAACTCCACTTGCTGACAGAAGAGTAAGTCACCACAGATGTCAGCTCAAAGCAGCCTGCAGCAAACACAATGCACTGGCCTTACCTTTCAGGATGTTGTGAAAATACTGGATAGCAGCACTGTCCCATTTCTTTGCAGGTCTGAAGTAGTAAACAGATTCAACTTCACTAAGGCTGGTAATAGGATCATTTTGTAAATCACTCACTGGCTGTTTCTGACATTAAATACCAAGCATATGCTGTAGATAACAGGGAACCAACTCCCATCCTGCAATATCCCCTGCACCAGTGCAAAAACACATAGCTCAGAGGTCCCAAGGAGAGGACCTACACCCAAAACTGTTGGGGACCACAAATTCACAATGGCTAATTTCACATATTTCCCTATGGGATAAAAGGGAAGATTGGGATTATTGGTACCACCCATCTGAGATTTCCCATTGACTTGTCCAAGCACAAGATCATCTACAACTTGTTAAATCATCACAGGATTATACGCTAGCTCAAAACACTTTTTTTAAAATTTTATTTAAGGAGAAAAAAGAAAAAAAAACAGAAAAAGGGTACAAGTTATACAGAATTTCAGAAAAAATAAACAGTAGGCAATCACTAGTTAATTACATATTGTCATCTTAGAAATAGTTGTTCAAATTACAAAATTAAAGCATATAGAGGGGACTTTCAAACAGTGAGACTGCAAGCAGTTTTGTTCAATGATCCAACAAAACTCAGTAATATGGTTATCTATCTTATACACTTAAACATACATGCAGTTATAACCTTTAGAGCACTTTCTTTTCTTTTGTTTTGTACTATGACAATTACACATTTTGGGTTTTATTACTCCCACAGTTATTACTTTTTTTGCAGAAAGTAAAACCAAATGTGACATAACAGGACAGAGTCAGTCAAATCAAAAGGATGGACATAATGCATAATGTAAAAACAAAATACAAGGTGATCAACAATGGTTACCATAATGCCTCTTGTTATCTTAAAAAGAATTGCCTATATCATCAGTTATAATAAAATTGAACAAAACAGTAAAGAATTAAGACCAATAAAACCAGAACATTGGAGACATTAGAGGACTTCAAAAGAAGATAATAGTCAACCAGAATGGGCGTCATAACGAATCTTATTGTCTTCATAGTTGTTGCCTATACTTTCGAACTTAGTACTATCAAGCATAACAGAATAGAGGAAAATCAGTCAAAACAAGATGGTGAGAGCAATACAAGGTTTCAAATCAAGTTAATAGGAAATCAAAGTGGGTTACTATAATATATCCTGCTATTTTTTATTTATTTTTCCCTTAATTAAAAAGATAAAAGTAAATAATTTTAAAAAAGGGAGATTGAGATAAAAGAGGGCATAACAACAAAACAGCACAGGTCAAAGCATAACCATTTAAGCAAAATAGTGTTTCACCACAAGATAATCTCAACATAATAGTAGTTACCATAGTGTCTCTTCCCTTAAAATCTTTGGGTATAACTTCGTATACTATAGCACCAAACAAATCAAGACAATATCAAACCGTTCAAGAGAATGACAGTATTACAGGGTATTTAGAATCAAGTAACAGAAAATGAACAATGGTTTCTATATAGTCTCCTTGTCTATAAAACTTTTTGTTTATATTATCACATATAATACAATCCAATAAGATACAACAGGTTAAAACCGATGGAGACAGAAGAACAAAAGCTTGATGGGACTTCAAAATAAGAGATTAAATTAGCACTACCTATTATGTCGTCTTGTTTTCTCCAAAATGGCTGTTCCTACCATCCAACCTTCTCTGCCTCATTTCTCTTGAGCTCTTTTTCTGTCATTAGTTGTCAGTTTGTCTTCTTCATCTCACTTTCTGCTCCATTCATTGTGGCCTCTCTGCCACTGTTTCTGGAATCTTGGTATTTTTCATTTTTAGAATATCCTGCAGTAATCTCTGTAGAGTTGAATTGGTGGTTGCAAATTCCCCTAGTTCTCTTTATCCTGGAAGCACCTTGCTTTTCCATCAATTTCTAGGGACAGTTGTACAGGATATATCAATCTTGGCTGGAGGTTGTTATCTTTCAAAGCTTGAATTATTTCCCCCCACACTCTTCGTGATTTGATAGTTTGTGCCGAGAAATCTGCTGTAATTCTGATGGGTGTTCCCTTGTAAGTGATCTGTTTCTTATCTCTGATGGCTTTTAATATTCTGTTCTTATATTGGATTTCTGGAATTTTGATTATTATATGCCTGGGTGTAGCTGTTTGGGTTGTAGGTGGCTGGGGTCCTATATGCCTCATACATCTGAGTATATTTACCTTTTGCTAAATTAGGGAAATTCTCCTGGATTATTTCTGTGAATAGCTTTTGTAGTTGATTTGTTTGTGTCCCTACTTCTTCTTTTATGTTCTTAATTCTTAAGTTATAGATGCTCTTATCATCTTCTAGCCTTTGCATTATTGTTTTCTTGTTATTTTTAAGACGTTTTTCATTTCATGCTCCCACCTTACAAATCTGCACTCCAGTTCTGATAATCTATCTTTAGTTTCTATCAAGCGTTATGCCAGCTTTCAATAAAGTTTTTAGTTTCCTGGTAATCTCTTTGAACCTGCTTCACGTATTCTATGTTTTCTCTATTTTCTCCATCAAACAATTCTCCCCAGTTTTTCTGTTCTTCCATTCCACCATCTGTTTTTTCTTGGGCAGTGCTTAGCATTTCTCTAACTATTCTACTTATTTCTTGCTTTATTTCATTAAATACTTCATTTTTGAACTCGTCTATGAGGCTCCGGAGATAACGCTTTATGTCTATTAGTGCCATGTCTGATATTGTATGCTTTCTGTCTTCATTCTCTTTTGCATTTCCCTTTCCTGGATCAGTGTTCTCAGGATTGGGGACTGAGGACCCTTTCTTGTTGCTCCCTTTTCCCATACTTTTTGTTCCTTCCATACAAGCGTATGTAGGAGGCCCAGTTTTTTTTTTTTTTTTCTCTTTGTCTGTTACAGTTTGTTTGAATTGTCTCGGGTAGGTGTTCCCGCCCACTGCAGTGTATTAGGGAGACACAGACGTGGGCAGCCTCTGCTGGTCCCGCCCCTCCAGATCAACCTAATGAAGATTTCACTGCTAGGGTGCACCACCAGGCACAGGGATTTGGGCTAGCCTACTTGATCTTAGTCCACGGTGTCACCAGGCCAAGCACTCCCCACCAATCCCGCCTGAGAGGGGAATATGCGACTAAAGTCACTGCAGGCCCCTGTTCCAGCTAGTCTGCCTGTTCCCAGAATGTCCTCTGTTGGAGCCTCCTAATCTATGAAAGGGTCCCCATTTCTCTCACTCACCGCAGGTCGATGCAGGGCTCCCTGCCAGTCCCACTCTCAACGCCGTTTGGTTCACCGCGCATGTCTCTCTCCCTCTCTCTGCCGTGCAGATTGGGACGCAGTAATGGCAGCAGGAAATTCAAATCGCAGCTTCCAATGGTGCAGGATCCAGCTTCTGCGCTGAGATTTTATCTGTTCCTGTTATAGCATCAGGATTGCATTTCCAGTTGGTTTCTCTCAGCTTAGTTCGTTCCTGGGTTGGCAGGGTACATCTCCCCTCGCTTAGGACTCCTCACACAGCACTGCTCCTGGATTCTAAGCTGGTAATCTCAGAGAGGTTCTGTGGCTGCTGTTACTTGTCTGCCATGTTCTCCTGGAAGTCTCAAAATACTTCTAAATGTAAAATTATCTATGCCCTCTGGAGTCAGTGTCTTCTGATGAACTGTAATCCTGTGTTAGCCTCACCTGTCACTATATACACCAAATAAAGTGGCTGCTCTGGGAGTGGAGGAGGTTGGATCCAGAGACATTGAGTTCCCAACCATTGTTGGAATAAGAAATTTGTCTCTGTTTTTTATTTTTCTTGCCGCATTCTTGAGACTGACAATTGGGACTCTTGCCTGGGTTCCCAATACAAAACCATGGCATCCTCTGTCCCAATACCATTGTTTCTAATCACTGGTGACAAATTTGCCTCCACCCTGGGGCAGAGATGCTGAGAGTGCAATGCCCTGCAAATGCTGGCTAGACCAGCACCCTCAGAGGTGCTTGGGGGAAAGGTATCATCTTCCCATGCTAGTTTTCACTCTTCAGACAAGTACCCCTGTGCTGTTTCCCTCTTGATCTCCATCAGCTTGCTCTTTAAACATCCTTCCTATCAGGTGTGATTAAACTATACAATGAATATTTTTAAAAATGTGTTACAGTAAAAGATACACTGCCAAATATGGGAGAGCGTTTATATATACTTTTCCATATTCATATATCTTATATAGACATAAAATTACCTATCTATATAATCATTTTAGTATATATTTTAAGATATTGAATTATTGTATATTGTACATTTTTTATATTTTGTTATTTTTTATTTTAGGTAAATGTGACAAATGGTTTGGAAACAATATAGATGGCTTCAGGAGTAAAATGATTAAATATGACAATTACATCTATCTATGAAAAAAACTGAAAAACTAAAAGGAAAGGGGCATGTATTGGTAAAGAGCTTCAACAGATGTATATTATTAAACTAATTTTGAATAAGACAGTGTGTTCTAATTTTCATTAAAAGTTCTACAAAGATAAAATTGTGTAAAAGCACTGACAAAGGTCTGGAAGGTCAGAGATGTAACAGTCCACACCTCCTAGAAGAGAGAAAGTAAGGCTGGGGAACAATGTAATAAAGTTATTTTGTCTTCTTTGTTTTTTTGACACAGGATCTTGTGACATAGTTCAGGTTGGACTTGAACTTGTGGCAATCCTCTTACCTCAGTCTCCCAAGTACAGGGATTACAGATGTGAACCACCGTACCCAGCTGTTTTGTTTTTGAGAAGGGGTTTTGCTATGCTATCTGAACTCATGCACTCAACCGATTCTCTTGCATCAGCCTCTAGAGTAGCTGAGACTATCAGTATGTACAACTGTACTTGGATAATAAGCTTTTTAATGGTCCACGATCCTAAGTTTCGCTTTCCTAGAAGTTAATTTATTACTTTTCATAACTTTTTAGAAAACATAAACAGCATAGCACTCAGAACCTCTTTCAAAACCCTCAAACACAGCCTCTGAAAATGTAACTGACCCACAAAATTCTGCTGCACAGCCAGGTTTGACCAATCGTGACTCAGAAGCTACCTTCTACAAAACAAGAAACTCTCAGCACTTCTACAATTTCAAATAAACATCACATACTTAAAGCTTTTTAAAAATTTAAGCTACTTGAGAAACTGTACTTACACAATTTCAGCATTGTCTTCGCAGAAGTCAATGTGTAATGTAACAGGTTTTGTGCAATAGAGCCTGAATTTTTTCGCCCTATAGGGAAGCTTCATAAAAGATTCTACTGCAACTCGGATGCTTGAAAGCAGAAAAAGAGTTCCATTATAAATAACATTATACACAATATATTCATTGCATTTAAAATACATCTCTATAGTTAATACACTTAATAGAAACAATTCTTTCTGTTTCAAATCTAGCTACCAACAGTGCTTCAAAACACTTAGTCTATGACAGTGATGTGAACCTAAAGTATACGTGCCACAGCAGGCTATTTGTATCAAGCTCTAAAAGATTCACCATCACTGGTCTAGGGGATAAAAACTGCTTGAGTGGAAAATATTTTACTTTTTGTGTACGAAGCACAGGTATACATATACTTATAGTGCATTAAGCAGATGTTAAATATTTCTGTGGTATGTTTCAGAGCATAGGGGCAGGAGGTCAGGGGAAACAAAGGTCCAGGGAGGATTCCAAGGTTGAAAAATATTGGGTAATAATGAGTAAACCTGTGAAGAAAATTCTGTGTAAAACTTTTAAGTATCAACTTCAATACTGACTAGAATTACACAGAAGTTTCTGTAAATTAAAAAGTTTCTAGTGCTTGCTTCAGCAACACACATACCTAAAAAGGTTTCTGTACATGAATGAATGTGTCAATAATAAATTATTGCTGTCCTTGCACAAAAGACCCATAGGACAGATTTGACAAGTAATTTCTAGATTTTTATTCCATTCTTAACCCATTCAGGCAAATGACCATGGTAAGGTATTATTTCAACATAAGCTAGTTCTCTTCCCTGGATCCCATATGCCCTGTACAGCTAGCCAGCTGTACTATCTTCTGCCTCCAACAGATGCTACACTAATTGCTTCAACAGTTTTATCCAAGTGCATAGTTCTCCTGCCTCAAACTTGCTAATCTTAAAATACTAAACACAAGAAGAAAAGCTACCCAACGTTAAGCAAAATAGTAATTTTAACAACAATATAAAGATGCAGAATCAAAACTGGAAGGCCATCTCCATTTTCCTTAAAATATCTGTAAATTCCCAGTGTTTGACAAGTCTTTCTACTATGAAGATTCTTAAGAGATCTCTCTTATTGCTTTTAACATCCACTTGGCATTGTTCTTTCTTTAGTGAACAAGTGTCCTCCTATTTATTAAATTGATGATTTCTTACTCTGGGAAGCAAACTATAGAATAGTTATCCTGAACACCAAAAACAACTTGTGCTAGTGTTTTCTAGTAACTGACATGTGGTCCCAGAAACAGTGAAGGCTGCCCAGTGGGCATCAGTTACAGTCTCATTCTGAACTGTATTGCTGCTATTTGTGGTGGCCACACGCTCATGAGTTAAGAAGGAAAGTCAGGACTACATACTTGAATTTATACTCTGCTCTCTAAAACCTGAGCTTGGGCCAGCAACCTCCCCTGTCTCCTGCTAGCATCTTTTGGGAAGTCACACTGAGGTTAACAGAGGGGCCAGACAACAGAGCACTTGGCTAAGGAACCCAGGATATGCAGAGAGAAGGGCCTGGACCTGAAGTGCCCTTTCCAAAAGGAAAGTAGCAGGGGGCTAGAGCTGTCCTCTGAGCCTCAGTTTAACTATCTGCTCTTCCAATTAATTGATGCAGAATTGGGAACTTGCAAGCGCTCCCCTTTTTGAAGCTAAGGAATTCCTGTTTCATCTTTTCTCAAAAGGGAATGATCTCTATATCCCCTTAGAAACTGACATTCTCCTTGTCCTAACTGACATCTGTGTCCTTAAAGAATATACAGCAATATAAACAGCATACATACTTTTTAGATTTTACTGGAATGTACTTGGCAAAATCCACAAGGAAACACTTGGCTAGATAGTGGTCTGCTGAAGGTATGATTGATTTAATAACAGCCCTGCACCAGGACTTTAGCTCCTGACAATAAACCGCACAAACCTACAAAGTAAAGAAGAAGGTTTTATTTTTTTAAATTCCCTGCTAAAATCCCCAGTCACAAAATGACAGAACTACAAGGTTCCTCTCAAAACTATAACAGCTCTCATTTTACCTCACAAAAGGACAGAGATGCTCAGGGATAGACCTACCCAAACTACACATGCCTCCCAGAAAAAGAATTTCAAAAAGAACATAGATCACCTGCATTCTGCTCCACTGTTAGTTTTTACTACAAGTAATTCCCTCTTTTCCACAGTTTAACCTAAATACAGATGACTACAACCTAAAAATATTAGTGGAAAATTCCAGAAATAAGCAACTCATAAATTTTAAGTTGGGCTCTGTTTTGAGTAGTGTGAGGTAATGAATGCCAGAACATGAACTGATCTTCTGTCTGGCACAGCCACACTGTATGTATTACCTATCTAGCTGTTAGTCACTTAGTGGTTGTCTGTTACCAGATGAGTTGCTTCAGGATCACAGGTGTTAGTGCTTAAGAAATTTTTATTTTACTTAACAGCCCAAAAGCACAAACTTTTATTAAAGTACTGTTATGGTTTGTATCTAAAATATCCCCCCCCCAAAGGTCAGGTGATTAACATCAGGGAATGATTGAATTATGAGGATCATAACTTGATGGTATTAGTGGGAAGTGACAGAAACAAGAATGCTGGCTAGCAGAAGGGAAGCAATGATGAGGGTGTGACTTCAGGGGTATACCTGATAGCTGTTCCCTATTTTGGCCCTTTCTTTTTCTTGCTGCTTTATGGCTACCATGAGGAGAGCTTTCCTCCATCATGATATTTCTGCTTTACATAGGTTTAACATCAATAGACTTGGCTGAATTTGGACTTAAACCTCTGATCCATAAGCCTAAAGAAACCCTTCCTCCTTTAAGCTGATTTGTACCAGGAGTTTTGTAATATGATGGAAAGCTATCACATGATTATGATTATAGGTGTTTTATTCTTGTTACTAATTTTTAAATTTTATCCTCAGTATGTATATATAGTAAAAACATAGTGTGTATACAGTTTAGGCATCCATGGAGAGTTGTGAAACAAATTCCCTACAGGTAAGAGACTACCTTAAAATATGTTTGATTCCTTCTTAACTAGGAACAATTTTTAGAAACCAAATTTTAAAAAACGCTTTACTTTACCTTTTTAAAACACAGAAACAAAACTTATACTTACAAATGACTGGCAATGCTGTATCAAACCAATGTAAACTGCAACCCCATGCTCAGCATCCCATACCTTTCTATGGCTTTTTCTAACTCTCCAATTTGCTTATTGCCTGTCATGATGGAGGTTGGTTCATGATTGTATGTATCTTTGCTTTGCTTACTGCCTCGTTTCCAGTTACTAGTGTAGTTCCTGGCTCATACTTAATCTTCAAAACTAATTGTTGAGCCAGGAATAGTGACTGTAATTCCAGCACTCTTGGAAGGTGAGGCATGAGGATCACAAGTACAAACCCAGGATGGGCAACTTACTGACTTAAAAGACATTGTCTCAAAGCAGAAAACAAAAGAGCTGAGCATGTAGCTCAGTAGGAAGGTCCTGGGTCCAATTCGCAGTACTGAAAACAAATTTCAATAATAACAAAACCCATTCATTGAATGGCTGACTAAAGAATGCCAGTGGCAGCCTCGCTTATAAAGAACCATCCTGCATAAGTGACATCCCTTGGCATCCTGACTAGATGGCAGGACCATCAGGTCACAGCCAACTCAACTGGCAATCTATAGTTCAACAGATCACACACTGATCACAGGCTTCTAAAGTCATTCAGTAGGGAGAAGCCACACCCAAGCAGGGAAGAGACCCAACAGCAGATTTCAGACCTCAGGAATGGAAACTAGAAAATGCAGTGAGAGCCACACTGCAAGAATAGGCTCCTAAGAGCGTCACATAATTCAAACCTCAAAGGACTGAAGAGAAATTCTGACAGAGGAGAAAGGGTATTTGTTTTATTTTTGTTTTTTGGTACTGGAGATTGAACTCACAACCTCACGCTTGCCTGGTAGGTGCCTGTACTGCTGAACTATATCCCTAGCCTGAGAAAGGGTGTTTCTATTTAATGCTAAAATCAAAGCAACTTGTAGGACTGGTTTGAACAATTAATAACTCATGTACCAGTAAAACTTTGAAACTGGGTTACACTAGGTGTCTATGGAAACAATTCACACAAGAACAATAATGACTATAATTAGTGAATATACTGAAAAGCCATGAGGATCAAAATGGTACTTAAAAACAAATGAGGCTGTAGGTATATCTCAGTGGCAGAGCAATTGTCTAAAAACACAAGGCTCTAGTTTTGATCCTCAGCACCATGAGAAAAAGAGGGAAGAAAAAGACACCTCTGAACACCATTGGAGATATTTAGCCATACAGCATTATATTGAAGATTTCTAAAGAAAAAAATCAAGGACCTTTAAAATATTTACAGCATAAACTTAACTGCTGCAGTGTAATGAGACAGTCTTAATAAGGGAAAGTTGTTCACAGAAAACACCCCAGCTCATGAATGCAGAAGGAATAAGAGGAAATCGCCATAATTCAAGCATGAATGAAAGCAGACTGGGCAGCAGTGGTCACCAAATGGAGAGATTAGTACATAAATACTGGCAGGTAATTCCCAAAATGTGTGTGTTGCGGGGGGGGAGGGGTGTCAAGCTGTCACCATCCAAATCCACTGGCCACAAACAATGTTATCACTCAATTTAATACAAGAAGGTCAAGGAGCAAACATTCTTGGGGGAAAATAGTGACCCTAAACCTACCTAGAATTTGATATTTTACTGTATTTAAATATCAATCCACAGAAAATAGAGAGGATAGAGGGAAAAGTTAAACTACTACTACTACCAAATAGCAATCAAGCTATTAAAAATATGAAGTATTTTAAAGAGCCAGATGTGGTAGTCTGTAATCCCCGAACTGAGAGAGGAAGGCTGAGGCAAAAAGATTACAAGTTCAGGCCCAGTAGGGCAAGACACAATTTATTTAGCAAGACCCTGTCTCAAAATTTTAAAAAGGCCAAGTATGTAGCTCAGGGTGAAGGTCCTAGACTTGATCTCCAATATCACACACACATAAGTAAATTATTATTAATCATGATTTGGGAAGGAGAAATTTCAATGTTTTCTAGTTTCCTCATATTGTAGAAATCTTTTTCCAACTACATTATCACAAAGAATTCCAGCTCTTCTGAGAAACAGATGACCTATCAAGAACAATGAACAATGGGAGGTAGACACGCCAAGAAGGTAAAGAGGGGCCATGATGTGGAATAAGGGAAATAAAAGGAGTGTGAGTTGCCAAAGTCATGAGCAACCGAGAGGTAGATGTCTGCCCTAGACTAAAAACCACATCCCCTCATTGCTGAAATCTCTACACCTGTGCTGGATCCAGGATAATCTCCTGGCTCCCAGTCTCAGGAGGATGGCCCCTATACCTGGATTTTGATGACATGCATCTCCTATTGTTCCATCACAATCCTTGTACAATAATTCTCCCTTCCTAGGACTGGTCTGAATCTGGTGGAACCTATCAAACTTAACACCAGGTAATGATTATAAGCAACTAAAATATTCCAAAGGCTTTCATCACCTTAGTGACCAAAATATTTTACATTTTGAGTAGCATTTCAAGGCATGGTAATTAAAGCAGATTTGATACATACCTGCCCTTCTTCCAAAATCAACGGCTTTATTTCTATATTTTGATGCATGCTGTTATAGAAGTCATTCATGGCACTATTTAGTTTTTGATAGTCAGCTTCATGATCTAAAAAGGGACTACATCCTTTGATAACAACCCAGAAGCAATCCGGATCTTCAATCTACAAAGATTTTAAAACACAAAAATGCATGATTTAAAAGTAGAACTATAAAGCAATAAACTTACAATCACAATAACTATTTCTAATTTGTAATCTAACAGATTCTTGCGAAGGATCTTATTCTTAAATGGTCAGACCAAAGATCAAATTTCAAAGCATGTAAACAATAATATGTAATTCTCATTTACATGTTGTGACTATAAAGCAAACAGGGTCACTGATCTCCTATAGTTTGAAAACATCCATATCTATTAGATCCAGTACATTTTTAACCTTTCTGTAAGAAAGAGAAATATAACTATTTATACTCTGTTCATATTTTTAAAAATAGCTAAAGCAGTTATATAGTATTACCTACTTAGAAAAGAAAGGAGTGGAATAGGACAGAATGTATCTGTAAATGCATCTTGTGATATACTTTTATTAGAAATCAAGATTCTCAGCTGGGCCTGGTGGTGCATGCCTGTGATCACAGAACTTGGTAGCCTGAGGCAAGAGGATCACCTTGAGTTTGAGGCCAGCCTGAGCTACATGGTGAGTTCAAGACCAGCCTGAACTACACAGTGAGACCTTGTCTCAACAAAATAAGATATTCTCAGCAAGGGATGGTGGTGCATCCCTGTAATCCTTGCATTTGGGAGGCTGTGGCAGGAATACAGATGTTTGCATTAGTATTCCTCATAGTTTTCTGAATGTTTGAACATTTTGATGCTTGAGGAGTAAGAATGTCAATTTTTGGGCTTTCAATACAGCTAAAAACTAAGAAGAGAAAAGCAGAAAAAGAGAAACATGGAGGGGAACCCCAAACCTGCAAGTGAAGCCCCCCCTCACAAACTGGCAGGCTATAAATTGCTTAGGTGAGAGTCTCAGAAGTCAGAGAAGACAAATAGCTGGAAAGCTGAAAGAAAGTTTTAGCCATTACCTTTGAAAAACATGGTCCCACCCTTTAACATTGTGTTCTTAAAGCTCACTCATGTTGAATCATATCTCAGAATTCCCTTAAGGTTAAACAACACTCTCATATATACATATATACCATATTTTGTTTATTCACTGTTGGACACAGGGGAAACATTTTATCCATGTAAAAACTATATGGATGACTACAAGTGACATCCGTACAACACTTGATGAAATTCTCCTATGTGGGACAGAAAATTTGCTCAGAGGGTGAGCTGGGTGGGAGTCAGAAGGGCAGATCAGAGAAAATGTGGCAAACAAAAGGATTCCCGAGGCCCAAATGAGAGGAGATCCCAATCCTAACATAAAAGTCCAGCTCCTTGGCTGGGGATTTAACTCAGTGGCATAAGTGCCTGCCTTGTAAGCGCAGAGTCATGAGTCTGATCTCTGGTACAATTAAAAAAAAAAAAAAAGAGTCCAGCTCCTTTTTCTTAGAGCTAAGGGCCTTTCTTAGAGGAGAAAGCTGACTACCCCGTTTAGAATGGATTGACAATATCTGATATGTGAAGAGACGTTTGCTTGTGAGTTGCATCTAAACCCCTAAAATCTAACAAATCCTCTACTCAAGATGAGGTGTTTCAAACATTTGTGCATCTTTGTGCAGAGAAATTCCATAAAATAGAATGACTTTAAAAATCCTATCATTTGCTGTTTTTCTTCTCTGCCCACTGAAGCATGGTTTTTAAAGTAACTTATATCCCCTTTTTCCAGTAACTCAGACCCAGCTCTTTGCTGGTGCCTGTAAACTCCTTCCTCCAAGCACCACACATTCCCAGTCCATCAATTATCATAACCTGCTGCAAAGACCCAAAGACTGGGAACATTCACACTCTTCTGAGTGGAACCTGAAAAGAGCACAGCAGAGACTGAGACCTAGCAGGGCTCGCGCTGAAGGAGGGGAACAGGTCACTACACCGTGTCCATTACACGCGCGTGGAAGGGGTGTGCGTGGGATCCGCTTCCAGTCTGTCCCTCCCGCCGAGGTTAGTACCGTGCAAGCCAGGCACGGTGGCTCATGCGTGTGACCCCAGGACTCTGGGAAGCTGAAGCAGGAAGATGGCAAATTCGGGCCCAGACGGAGCAATTTAATGGCTCTGAAACACCCTCTCTCAAAATTTCAAACAAACAAACTCAGCTCAGGGTGTAGCTGAGTGTAAAGGCCCTGCAAGAAGAAAGGAAAGAAAGAAGGGAGAGGGAATGGGGAAAACAGTCCGTATATTCACATTCTCTCTCGCACACCCGCACACACAGCTCCAAGTTTCGTCTAAATTTTAGGGAAACCACCTGTGGTAATGTATGTAGCACCCTAACTCCCCAGCCCGAGAAGCAGACTTCAGCCAAACTCCCCGCTGCTTATCTGAAGCCTGGGCTCACACAGCCCGACCGCGCTCACCCTCAGCACCAGGACCTCCAGCATCCCGCCAGGCAAGGCCGCCGTCTTCGCCCTCAGAAGTCCGGGCCGCGCCGCCGGGAAGTCCTGGCGCCGGGGTTCCCAGAAGGCAGCGGCGGGGAACTGACTGCCGCTTTGCACAGGTAAGTCAGAAACCAGGAGAGTCTCTGGCCTTCAGAGGCCTCGCGCGTGAGGGAGCGAACCAGGCCGAGCTCGCTCTTTTGTCTTCGCGCCCGACGGCGCCACGCACAGCTGAGCGGTTACCCGGCGGTTGACGCCCACGAGGCGCTCGCGCAGGCGCAGTGTGGATGCTGAAGCCGCTCGCACCTGCGCCCGTGTTAAAGGTCCCAGTGGGGACCAGGCCTTTTGGTTTCACAGTGTGATATCATCAAACTCTGAGAACCAATTCTATGAATCTTAATTTTCGTGTGAGAAAACAGGCTCGGTTAGAAATGTAAAGTTTAGGAAAATCTGTGCTTCCTCAATGACTAGGGGTTGGTGCCTTTTCCAGAGGCGGGCAGGCAGCCATGTTGACAGGAGGCCGGTGAAGCAGTGACGTCACCAGGTCGCTCCACCACAGAAGCAGCAAGTAGGGTACTTGTCAAGGGCCACTCCATCGCAAAATTAAAGTGTAAGGGGATGTAGCTTAGAGTAAAGAGCCTGAGTTCCAGCCTTAGCATCACAATCACGACCGAGGGAAAAAAAGGGGAGATTTCACAAGGTCCTCTAACGATGTGCTTAATAAAACCTGAGGCAGGAGGGGCAGAGATGGTAAGTGTATGATGTCAGACAGAAAAACTCTGCTGCAGAATGAATGAAGTTCACCTATTGCTAATTAGGCCCTCCCACAGCCACCCCAAATCAGGGACCTGCAAGACCGGCTCACCTGAAAGTTGCAAAAGGAGACCATAAAATCTGATTTAATGAGGTCCCAGAGATAGTTCCCAAGTCCCAAAGACAGAAAATACAGCCTTCTGTAGGGCAATGCCAAAGCACAAGATGGCTACACTTTGGTTCAGGATTCAAGGGGTGATTTCTGGTGGACATGAAGTCCAAGTCAACAAGATTTCAGTGCAAGTGCACCTTGTCGGTCTTCGTGTAAAGAACCTATGTAGCCAAGGTTGTTACTGGCACATGGCCACTGTGGCATTCACATACAGCTAATAAATTATCAAGTACACACATCCTTTACCCTTCAATATTTTATGTGTACTGCCCTGATACTCCATGACACACTCAGAAATTGGATTGTCTACCTTTGTAATATTTTTCTTTCTGAAAATCTGTTACATTCTTTCTCTTTGAAGTTCAACATACCATCTAGGTAATGGGTGATTTTTGTTAATTTTCTTTGATCATGATAGGGCCTTTTCATCTCAAGATCAACATTTCTCTTTAGCTCAAGACAACTTCATTCTTTTCTCTATATACTATATCTCTCCCATTGTTGTGGAATATTCTTTTAGATATACCAATAATCCACACTCCGTCTCTAATATCTGTTTTCCTTAGCTTATAGTAACAAAGAGACCAAAGAACAAAAGTTGTTCTGAGATGGAGGGTTTTTTTGAGGCAACAAAAGTGCAAACAGTTCTGAGGTGAGAAGGACTTTTCAGTAGTCAAGGAACAGAAAGCCCTGAGGGGAGCAGGTGCCAATGGAGACAGGTGCATAATGAGATCAAAGAGAACAGCAGGGCTTTGTTGGCTATGGTACATTTAAATTTCTTGAAGAAAAGCCAGTAAAGAGTTTTAATAAAGCCAGTGATAACATGACTGGACTCATATTTCCTTCTCAGTGAGTGTGTGGTGAATGGAATAATGAAAATGGAGAATATAGCTCTGAGATGGTAGCAGCAGCTAAAAAAGAAGTAACATTGGCTTTCAATAAGGGCAGAGCAGTACAGAAGTCAGAAGAGAGGATCAGTACCGAGGACCCCTGCAGTGGGTCCTATTTCCTGCAAGGTGAAAAAAAAGCAAGAGACAAAATGGTGAGGCAACAGAGATCCGGAATGCCCAGTGGTTCATGGGGAACAAAAGGCCAGAAGGCAGCCAGAGCCTCAGTATTCATTGAGCACATTCACAGTGAGGAAAATGGTGAGATTATGGCTTGATGTGCTAGATAAGTTGCAAGGCAGGCAAAGCTTGTAAAAGAGGGGACAAAGCGTGCTTGCAAAAGGAACAACACAGCTAGATTCAAATTGTTAATGAGTAACTTGTTTTGTGATGAATTCTGGGGAGGAATTTTCTGTGGAGTCACACAGGCCTCAGCAGAGATGTTTTCTCATATCTTAGCCCCACAGCTTCATGGCCCACTTATCTGGGCTCACTATGGCCATTGCTGGGGAGCAGTGCTAGCCCAACATGCCACCCACTTGCTTCCACAAAGTCTGGTACACAGCCTCAACCAGGCTCACTATTCAAACCAAAAGCCAATTTAGGGAAGTCACCTCTAGACAGCCTGCCCTTCTCAGTGGTAAGCACAATCACATTTGGGTCTGGGAGAGGGTGATATAAATGAATCAGGCTGGGTGTGGTGATTCATGCCTGTAGTCTCAGCACTGGGGAGGCAGAAGCAGGAAAATTGCCATGAGTTCAAGACCAGCCTGGACTGTAGATTGAGACCCTGTCTCCAAAACAAACAAGAAAAGTCAAGAGATCTGTTACTCTCCATGACTAACTATGCAAGGCTTTATTTTTTTAGTTTTTGAGTTATTATTTAGTTTTTAGTTATTATTTTGTTATTTATTTATTATTATAGTTATTATTTTAGTTTTTTAGTTATTATTTTGAAGGTAGTAAAATACAACAGAACAAGACGGAACAAAGCCAATTTAGACAGTGTAGTGAAATTAGTACAGAACTTCACAGCAGGTTACCGGGATAACAGTAATAGGTACCATAGTATATCTCGTTATCTTCACAATAGTTGTTCTTTCAATCAGGTATAGCAAAATAAAATGAAATAGAGTACATTATAGAATTTATCAAACAGATTATTGAATAGAGCAATACCATTAATCAGAATAAAGAAAACAGTAGTAAAAATATTTGCCAAAGAGATGGTAGAAGGAAATCCCCATTATTTGCCATATTGCATATGGTCAACCTCCCAAGAGATGCTCAGATCTCTGGCTCCCATTTGCTAAGGGGTGTGTGTGTGTGTGCGTGCAAGTTCTTTTAATGGAATAAATTGCTTTTCTACATAACCCCATGCTGATGGGTTTTATTTAGAATATAGCGCCATCAAATACAAATCTATACCTTTTAGAGCAGTTAAAAAAGAGAGAAACAGAAAACAAAAAATCTGCATGTGGTGGTTCAGGGATGCTGAGATAGGATTGCTGTGAATTTGAGGCTAGTCTGGGCTGCCTACTGAGTTCCGGGCATCTGAAATATGTAGTAAGACCCTGTCTCAAAAGTGGGGATCAAAATAAAAGTGGGGTCAGCTGGGCGTGGTGGCTCACGCCTGTAATCCCAGCACTCAGAAGGCTGAGGCAGGAGGATCATTGTGAGTTCAAGACCAGCCTGGGCTGCAAAGTGAGCTTAAGGCCAGCCTGAACTGCATAGAGAAACTCTGCCTCAAAAAGACAAAAAATAAAAATAAAAATAAATAAAAGTGGTAATAGAATCAACAGTGTTGGGAGCTGCTGAACTAGTGAATGTTCACACATGCACAACCAAAAGCATAGAATGCCTGAGGAAAACTCCAAGGGCATAGAGTGCGTAAGGAAAGCCCTTGAGAGTGTGGAGCACCAGAGATGAATCCATATTCCAGCCCAGAGAACAGGGAGCAGAAGAGGCCAGCTAGTTAAGCAAAGGGGCCTGGGATGTCAAATGTATAAATAAACACATTGTAATGGTGAGCGGTCTCTTCCTCTCATCTGGAGGAAAGGCTCCATCTGACCCTAGCTTTCTATTTCTATCTTTATGTTCTTCATCCTCTCATGGTTATTTTTCCCCCTGGGAACTCAGAGGGCTCTTGTGGATGTGACACAACAGGACTTCATAGTTCCCTGAACATACAAATAAAAGGGAGGAATCAAAAAAATTAATCAGCCATTAATACCACAGGAAAGAAAACAGTTCGTAATTCTGAACTGGGGGTGTAGCTCAGTGTGAGAGCACTTGCCTTGGATGCACAAGGCCCTGGGATCCATCCTCAGAACTGGAAGTCAGGCTGACATAAGGAAAGCTGCTACGGCAAACTGCTAGACAGACAAAATAACAAGTCACTGAATGTTTAACAGAAATCCTAATATAAATTCATACATGTGACTATGGCACATGCTTGTAATCCCAGCATCGGGGAGGTGAAAGCAGGAGGATTTCCAGGAGTTTGAGACTTTCCTGGGTTACACAGTCAGTTCAAACTACAAAGTAAGACCCTGTCTCAGGAACCCAAAACAAACAACAAAATGGAAGTAGATTTTTCATGTAACAAGCACAGGGAAAGCAGTCCAGAGCTAGAAGACAGCTTTGTCTTAACACTTCATTCTGTCATGGGTCCACAGCAGCTGTTCCAGTTGTCATCATTTCCAGCCACTAAGAAGGGAAAAAGAGTAAGCAGAGGGCAAAAGTTGTCTCCTTAAAGGATGTGACCTGGAAGTCACTGACTGTAGCTGAGGAAAGAAGGTCTGAGAACAAGGACTGAGAAGCTCTTGACACCAAGAGGTGGTACACATCTGCAATCCGAGCACTCTAGGAGCTGAGGCAGAAGATCACAAAACTTAGCAATGCTGTGCCTCAAAATTTGTAAAAGAGCTCAGGTATATCTAACCACAAAGACCCTAAGATGAATTCCTAGTAGGAAAAAAAAGCCAGAAGTCAAAGTAGAAGGAACTAAGAGGCTACAGAGGGAATAAAGAGGAAAAGAAAACCCAATATTGCAGAGGTTGGAAAAAAAGTACAGGTCTAAGGCAAGGAAAAAAGTATAAGCTGGTATCTCCAAACCTTTATGCCCAAATATGGCACAAATTATCTCTCAGAAAAAAGTGTTTCCGTTATACTGAGTAATTATACTGTATCACCCATATTACATTCTAATTGTTTTGTTTTTGTTAATAAAGAACTTTATGAACAAGGCATGTTAGCCTGAAATATAAATGTCAGTCTACCTTTGGATGTTTATGGAGGTCATGCAAAAGAATCAGCGAAAAAGGGGAGGGAATGAAAATGTATGTTTGACTTAGTATTTATTCTTGAAATTTTAAATGGAACTTCAGGGCAGGTATCATAGGAGATAAGTATTTGTGGCATTTTCCTGGAGAATGGTGTTATAGTTTAGATCTAAAATGGCCCCAAAATCCTCATGTGTTTAGAAGATGATTGGTGTCATACACTAGCAAAAAGAGCTTCATTATATTTGTATTATATCAAAATACCTGTAATGTGGCCTACTGTTCTATATGCATGTTTCTTTTCCTCTGGGTAACCTAACTGATGTTAATCAATGCCTCTCCTCTGTAAAGAACTGTAAAACCTAACCTAATTGATATGTTAACCATTGTTGCCCTCTACAAATAACAGATGTGGTGCTAAAATAAGCTAACAAAGGTTGTTAATTACTGCTAGAATACTCTATCCTCTGCTAAGGAAAGCAAAGGTCTTCCTCATTAACAGTTTTCCCGATCTATGCCCACGACCCCCTTACTTTGTAAATTGTGATATGTACTTACA